CTCCTCGATGGTTTGTGTGGACACGGTGCCGGTTGGTTTATTTCTTTCTCCCTCTGACTCAGCTGTGGTTTGGGTGGACGTGGTGCCTGCGGATTTGGTCCTTCTCTCCTCCCCCTGACAGTGCTGTACCATGTCAAGTAGTGTCCGGTAGGCAGTGGCCAGGGCCCAGCAGGTTGCTGTGAGCTGGCCATCTCTGGAGCTGCCAGAGCATTTTTCCTTCACCAGTCTTATCATGCTAACAGGATCCTGCAGTTGTTCAGGGGTGAATTTCCAGATCATTGGAGGAGAAAACTTCTCCAAATACTGGCTGATGTCCTCCCACTTCCCGTGCCACTCAGCATTATCTGCTCCCAGGGCAGGTGTCCAGACAACCTCCCTAGAAGGCCCTGTTCTGACCCTAAACATGGTGTACACAGTACAGAGCAGACAGAGCAACACTAACAATAACATTATACTGTCCTTAACATCAAAAGGGAACTCAATATTTTCAAAAACTGTTGTAGCAGGTCTGAAGGGGAAGAAGGAGGTGAGAGGCTGGAAACAACCATCCCCCCTGTTCCCCCAAAGGGCTGGGTACGATTTTTAATGAAACCCCAGAGGTAGCAACCCAAACCAGGACAGGCAAACAGGACTGAATACACATTTACAATGAAACTCATTGCTTCTGATGTTAGAATGACATAAACATAATATACTAATAAAGCAATTTGGATCCCTCTCCCTGGTCTTAAAGAGAGCATCAAAACAGGCAAATAATACCCCATCTGTGGAAATATGAACAGGCTCAAATACAACATCCATGTGACTGCATCAAACAACATGGTGATCAGGGAGTTTCTATATCCAAATAGACAAATGCTTAAAGTGAAATTGTGATTCTGACTTCTCTCTCTCTGCCCCACGTTGGGTGGCCAAAAATGTGCTGGTTTAAGAGTTAACCAGCAGGGGAAATGAACTCAACTCAAAGGAGAGATTATAAGTCAGAATAACAATTTACTAAAATAATACAGAAAGTACAATCATACAAACAAACAATTGGTCTTAACCCACAAAACCCAAATGTATACCCCAGTACCCTGGGGCATGAACAACGTGGTGTTCCTTGGGCCCCGCTTGAGTCCAAAGTAAAGGGAGAGGGGAAGAACCTGCTGGTGGGAGAGCTGTTGCAGTCTGGGGGGTGTTGCAGTGAGAGCTGTTGCAGTCTGGTCAAAGTGGTGATTGGAGTCCAGTATAGGGTGGTGGTCCAAGTCTGTTTGAGAGAGATGAGCCGCAGTCCTTCTCTGGATCCCACAGAGTGGTTAAAAATGTTCCAAGACTCCAAGATTATATATCCTGCAGTTCAGGCAGGAATGCTCAGCACTTCCCTCAGGGCGGGGAGTTCCACAAAGGGTGTGAGGACAGGAGCATCCTCCTATCTCACAGGCCTCTTAACACCTAGTTTATAGCCTGAGGAGTCAGGCTCTATGAGCAGATGGTGTCAATGGTTCATTGATAACAGTTTCTGGGAAATGGCATGGAAGGCTATAGAATACACAGTTTTGGGTTACACCCATACCCTGATGAACTGGTCTCAGTTGTCCTAACTAGGACACTAGCAATGCCTGATTTAAAACAAATGTGAAATGGTTGTGTCCATTAGCATTAATAGTAGGGTATAAGAAAGCATCAGACTTTCACACAGTCCTGCAGACGTTCTAGGTAAAGGGTTTCTTGTGTTTCCATATACGTTTTGAACAAAACAGATTAATCATTTTTGTTGACATGCTTGATCTGTGTTCTGTTTGGGAGATGATCACACTGCCTTTAGTAGGCAGATTTCTAGTAATTACTGTGGACCTGTGTTAATCTGTGAATATCTAGTTTAAATTTCATGTGTTTGAGCAGTTTGTGTATCCTGAAATATAAAAGAGACTTCTTTCAAAGAATGCAGAGATATGAATATTCCCTGAGCCCGTTCTTTTTCTGCAAGGATATAATAACAAAAAGTGAGACATTATGAATGTAGATAGCAAAAGAAAGACCAAAACCGAATTATGTAACTACCATTGGAAGGGTATTGAATACAACTGGAACTGTTCCTGGTGATGGAGGCTTTTTGAGCATTGAGCAGGAAAGTCCCTTTCTTACAGTTTATAAGTGATCTTGGAATATCTGCCACTGATTCAAATGTGAGTGCCCTGATCAAGTTATTTGGATCAGCTGATAACATACTAGCTTGGCAAGTCTGGGCTTCGTGGAAATCATCATTCCATAGCTCACATTCTACCACAAGAGGATGTAGTGTGAGAAGGAGATCGGACTTTCTAGTGATGTATCTGCTTAAAATCTGAAATCCTTATCTCATTTTATCATCTAGGAAACAGGATAAGACAGCTACAAGTGCAGTTTCCAACAACTGAATCTTCTGTCCCCTCTGGACAATGGATTTGAACCAGCTTGTATCCTGGCAATCAGCTGTTTTCCTTCCAGGGTGTTCTAACACGTATCGTGGAAACCCTGGCTATAATTACAGCAGTCATTCTGGAGAGGTCGTGCTGACTTCCTGACCATGTTAATTAATTAACAAAGGTGTATAAAAATGAGCCAAAACCTTTTAGGAACCTTGCCTGTTGTTTAGCAGATTTCCAAGACAGTATTCAAAGCATTGCCAGATTCCCCACAAAACGTAGAGCACTTTTCTCCCACTTCATGTCATGAGTAGTCACAGTAGCAAAAATGGAATTCAGGTTGGTGAAAGGCCATCTCAGGGATGGAGTCCAACATATTTGACCCTTTTGGACACATAGCTTATTCAGTTTCCGTACTGCAACTGTGTGCATCAAGATTGTCAAATATAATTCCTGAACATGAGACAGAACAAGTGTCTTTTTTACATCTACTTCCATGAAGGCAGCTGGCTGAAACTGTTTGTAGGTGAAAGAAGCCAGTGAACCAAGGCTACATTGGCCTTTTGGTAACCAAAAGTTTCTGCTTTCAGTGCAACTGTCAGTTTCCAGGGATAGTAGTCAGCTCCAATTAATAAATAATATTCATTAATGTATTACAAATTTCTACCACTACAAGTTTTTTCAATTCACATCTCAACAGGCTCTGGTGGCACTTTATGGTGCTAGGCTGTATGTCCTTGTATGTAGTGCCAGTTATCAGATGTTTCCTTACAGCCCCTCCAGTTATGCCTTAGAATGAGCTCTTCTTCAGTGAATTACCAAGTAGACAAGTATTGTTATCAATACTAAACTAATGACTTAAAGCAACAAACACAAAAAATAGGCTTCTTTTTTCCTTCTTCCTTTACAGAGATACTAAGTATATGATAGTGAACTCAGAGATTCTATGTCACTGTCCAAGGATGCTAGTCCAGGGCATTGTACTTCCATACACAAATGTCCCACAGCAGTTATTTTCCTCAGTTTCTGAATCAAAGTGCCATGTCATGTTTAGCAGGGGAGAGGGGGTAAGAGAGATGGAGAATAAAATCAATTTGGTATCTTAAAACTCTCTGTTACTTTGCAGTTGGGAGAGGTGTGTCTGAAAAATAAAGTACTTATTAATATGCCAACATTTTGCTGTTTATGAAACCCCACACATTGGTTTACTTATGTAATTATCAACAGCAATAGGGCCCATAAAAATATACCACTGGCATGGAATTGGTAATAGGAGCATGGATTGCCTTTTGATGTTTTATTGGACTGTTATGGATCATTGGGCATTAGATTCAGTAATATTCAACCTCAGAATTCTGAGTCATCACGGACAGTACAAAAAGTGAAAAGCTTTACTCAAGATGAATCCAAGTCCAGCGTCAGCATTCAGTGCCATCTACCTCTAGTGAAGAGTAGTCTTGTTATACACTTCTCCATCAATTTGTGTTATTCCAACAGATTTTCACATTTAAGAGAGACCACACTATTTATTGCAGTTGTTCTGTAGTGCAGCTCTGGTGCTGAGGCCTGCTTCAGATGATCATTCTAACTTGGACACAACTGCTGAATACCAAGGACAGATATTTTCTCCAGGTCTGAAACTGCTGCATCAAATAGTCAACGGGGAATGCTAAGTAGCATGGACATTATTCTCCTGCCATAGCCCAATAAATATGAAGCAATTAATCTCCTACTAAAGATACTTGTGTTCCAAACATAAGGGTTTCTTAGTATAGGTCTCATGTAAGATGGTGTAGCTTAGACCTAATTCAGACCTTGTTAGCAAAGATGTGTGATTATCTACTTACTCAGGTAGATGGGCCTCTTGTTTAAAGCCTGTTTTCACTGATTTTGAGTTGTCAGCCACCCTAGGTGCATGTGCTCTGTTTTCTGTCAGTCCTCTTTATTGAAGTGTAACAAAAGATGGCTCATTTACCTCTTGTTTAAATCTGGTTTTACCTGTGATCCTGCCCTCTGTTCAGCACCGGTGGCATGACAAGTGGAATGCTCTGCCTCCTTTGGGGTTCTCTAGTATAATAAGGGCATAGACATACTGGAGCGAGTCCAGTGGAGAGCCAAAAGATGATTAAGAGATTGGAGCATCAAGGAGAGGCTGAGACATCTGCAAGTGTTTAGCCCGAGGAAGGGACAATTTGGGGTGATTTTATCAATGTGTATAAACACCTGATGGGAAGCAGTAAAGAAGATGAAGCCAGACACTTCTGAGTTGCCTCCACTGAACAGACAAGGCCATGGGAATAAGTTGAAATGTAATAAATTCTGTTTAAACCTGAGAAGATACTTTTTTACTGTGGGGAGGGTTGAACACTGGAGCAGGTGGTCTAGAGAGGTTATTGAGTCTCTGTCTGTGGAAATAAATCAGAATATGACTGGACAGTGTCCTCATTAATCTGTTCTAGTTGACCTTGCTTTGAGCAGAGAAGTTGGACTAGGTGATCTCTTTCATTTGGTGAAAATGTAGTGAAATCGTGTTTCAGGTTCTAACCAACTTTAGTTTTCATATTACAATAATTTTTCAGTGTGTTTGTAAAACTTGTGAAAATTGTGTTCCAGCAAACTGCATTGCATTGGAGTGCCTACTACAATAACCCAGAGCATGTGAAACTTCTCATAAAACATGATTCAAATATTGGAATCCCTGATATTGAAGGAAAAATCCCACTTCACTGGGCAGCTAACAACAAGGACCCTAGTGCAATTCACACAGTGAAATGTATTCTGGTAAGAAAGTCTATTGTATATAACATTTTCTGTATTTACTATTTTACTCTGTAGAAATATTTTTATTCTCTTGAAATTTTTTATTTTAGTCCACTGACTCTTTGAGAACGAAATGGTTTGCTTTTCCTAATATCCAGAATTTTATAAAAATTCTGAGTTCTACAGAAAAATGTCTTTGCTCTAACTCATGGACTATGTGTGTGCTCTTAATTAGTTTGATATATGTAACTTCATTTCGAGAGTAAGGGAGGGAGGACAGGCTTGCAAATTTTCATAGTTAAAATGGCCAGTCATATTGATCATTTCAGTTGCATCTTGCAACTGATTTCTTTGTTATGTGTCTTTTCTTCATTATTTGAAAGGTTTTCTTCTTAGTTAACTGTGCTGAAAAGTCTAGTTTAATTTGGCCTTTCAAGTCAGAATTCTGGGAAATACTTGATCAAGTATCCGTCAGCCCACAATCAGTTTGTTGAAAGACCTTCCACTATTTTTATGGACGGATTTAATACTTTTTGCCTTGATGGCATATTTTCTCTTTTTACAGTGTTTCATTTTCTACAATGACAGAAATAATGGGTACAATGAAATCATATGCTCGGCTTGATTTTTACCTTGGTTTTTATTTTGTAGAAATCTCTGAACTTCATTAACATAGAAAGATAAAGAAGTCTCAATTGAAATTTTCTCTCCCATTACAACAATCTTCCTGTATCTTTGTCTTTCAAAGATCTTTCAGAACTAGACACATAGTGATTGTATGCCAGCTAGTAGAACTTACATGTCTGTCTCCCTGATTAGCTTGAAAGTTGAGAATTTAAGTGTGGCGTGTGAAAACTTGCTTTGCTTTTCTCCAAATCACATCAGCAATCTTACAGTTAGTGATACCTTTTTTTACTATAAAAATAGTATTTGAGAATTTTCCAGTGTTAAAGCAATTTTATTTCTGTATTACTTCTGTTTATTCAAGATGTTTGTAATTTGTACTTAGTTGTGAAGTAATTTGTTAAAAACAAAATTTGGTCCACACTAGAGAAATAAATTTGCTGAAAAGTATGTAAGGATATGTGTATTCAAAACAGACATTTTCAAATGTTAGTTAGTCAAGACAAATGTTTTTAATAGTTGTGCTGTGTTGGCCTCAGTCAACAGCCTAACACCCGCACAGCTGCTGATTTACCTCCCCTCTTGCAAGACAGAGGAAATAGAAGGAAAACAAGAAGACTTGTGGGTGAAGATAATGGCAATTCAGTATAGAAAGCAAAAGCTGCATGCAAAAAAGGAAATTTATTCCCATCAGCAGGCAGATGTTAGCCACTCCCAGGAAAGTGGAAAAAGAGTTTCATGAAGCATGCTTAATTGTGCTTGGGAAGGCAAATGGTGTAGCCGTGGGTATCCTCCCTGCCCTCCCCCTGTCCCTGAGCTATTTTGCTGCACATATTATATGGTATGGAATATTGCTTGGGTTAGGTTGTGTCAACTGTCCCAGCTGTGTCCTGTTGCAGTCTCTTGCCCACCCCCAAACCACTCACTGGGGGAAGCAGGGTAACAGGACAGGGCAGGGCATAAAAAGGAGAAATCCTTAATGCTGTGCAAGCACTATTCAGTAACAGCCAAAAGATAGGTATGTTATCAACAGTTTTAATCAGAAATATAAAGCCCTGCACCATACCTGCTGCTGCAAGGAAAATTAACTCTGTCTTACTGAGATGCACTACATACAAAGGGTTAAAAATACCTGTCTCCATACTGGAGGTGTTCTCAAAGTTTTTCTTTAGGTAATACAGAATCATGGTCATACCTGGGTTTTTTGTTTTGTTTTGTTTTTAAAAACTCTGACAGTTAAAAGAATCATAGAATAGTTTGAGTTGAAAGGAAACTTTTAAAGGTCATCTAGTCCAACCCCCCCCTGTGATAGAGAGGGACATCTTCAGCTAGATCGGGGTCCCACCCAACCCTTTGAACACTCCCAGGAATGGGACATCCACAGCCTCTCTGGGCAACCTGGTACAGTGCCTCACCACCCTCACAGTAAAGAATTTCTTCCTAATATCCAATCTAAACCTACCCTATTTCAGATTAAAATCATTCTGCCTTGTGCTATCACTATATGCCCTTGAAAAAGGACCTCTCCAGCTTTCTTCCCCTTTCAGGTAGTGGAAGGCTGTTGTAAGGTCTCCCCAGAGCCTACTCTTCTCCAGGCTGAACAGTCCCAGCTGTCGGAGTCTTTCCTCATAGGAGAGGTGATCCCACCTTCTAATCATCTTTGTGGCCCTCTTCTGGATTCACTCCAACAGGTTGATATCCTTCCTGTACTGGGGACCCCAGAGCTGGATGAAGTACGCCAAGTAGAGTCTCAGAGGAGAGAGCAGAGGAGCAGAATCACCTCCCTCAACCTGCTGGCCACGCTCTTTTTGGTGCAGCTCAGAACACAAGTGGCTTTCTGGGCTGTTAGTGCCCATTGCTGGCTCATGTCCAGCCTTTCATCCACCAGCACTCCCATGTCCTTCTTGGCAGGGTTGCTCTCGGTCTTTCATCCCCCAGCCTGTATTGGTACAGGAGGTTGCCCCAACCCAGGTGCAGCACCTTGCACTTGGTTTTGTTCAACTTTGCGAGTTTCCCATGGGCCCACTTCCTGAGCTTGTCCAAGTCCCTCTGGATGGTATCCAATCCCTTAGGTTTGTCAGCTGTACCACTCAGCTTGGTGTTGTCTGCAGACTTACTAAGGGTGCACTTGATCCCTTTGTCTGTGTCATTGATGAATACATTAAATATCACTGGTTCCATTGTAGCCCCTGAGGGACACCAGTTGTCATCGATATCCATTGGGACATTGAGATGGTGACTACTACTCTGGATGCAGCAGTTCTTTATCTACCTGAGAGTCCATCTTAAACGCTGTGGAAGAATTCCCCAGAAAATTATTTTTCTCTAGTGTCCTGCTTGGAATTCTCCAGTGCTGCTTTGCAAAAACTTGACAAAAGTTTAGTTGCTTTAGTTTTATTGAGACAACAGTCTGTGGTACTGACAAATATTGTCTTGTTTTTCTATAGTCTGCCTTTGGATGTGGCCATTTATTGTCTCCTGTCAATAAGGTCATCTTTCTGTTTGATATTTGTATAGTACAAAGTCTGTTGATATTGCCAAAATAAACAATAATGAAAAGAGCTCAACTGAATTCTGAAGAAATAGATTGGGTTTGCAGGGGTCACAGTTATGCACAAATTGGTTATATCTAATATTGAATTCCATGAAATACAGTGAAAATGGAACTCAACATATGTAGAAAGTAAATGTGAAGCAGAGAGAAACTCTAATCTGGAGATCCTCTCATGGTCAACTTCCTTTTCCACCTTTCCAGATTCAGCAGTACTTGATTACATGAAAAACGTTGGGAAGATTTAAGGAGAAAAGAACAGAATAAGGTTCCATTAATATGATGGAAGCAACTGCTTAGTACTCTCTGTCTGTTTTGTATCTCTTCTCTTTATTTATTCTTCATGGTAAGAGACGTGACATTTATTTATACCACACTTTCCATTATTATTTACAATTCCATTGTTCTAATTGCCACAGAAAAATGCTTAGCTTCTGTTTCTTCTGTGTATTTTTCTTAAAATATTAATACAGTATGACAGTTTAATTATAGCTAGTTTTAGACCAAACCCACTGAAATTCCAAAGAAATTATACTCTTGAAGGTAGGCAGAAAGAAGCCTAGAAAATTTTAGTGTAAGTGACCAAAAATTTCAAAGCACACAAGAACTTTTAGACTAGAATATAAATTAGAAGATTCTTTACCATTTTGCAAAAGTAACATTTTTTACTATGGGGGATATGTTTTTGGCAACATCAGTGACTTCAAGCGAGGAGTTTTAGGAGTCATTTATTTAGTATGTTCTTGTGCTTCTGGAAGGCTTGAAGGTTAGGTATCAGGATTACATCAATAAATTATAGGTAAAGTTTGTCCATTTTGTTCAAAGATGTTTTCCTCTCAGTAATAACTTCTGTGCATATCGTCATTCATATTTAGTCATTCTTAAAAGTGATTCTGACAAACGGAGTTTTTGCAGTGGGCTCTATACTCCCCCTGCTGATGTCTATGAATAGACAAAAAGTAAGCATATTATCAGTTATCTTTTTCTTGAAAATTCTTAAGGCGGGGGAAGAACATACAATTTTTCACAGAACTGTACTGGTTCAGGTAAATGCTTTTGAATGCTTATTGTAAGAAGTGTTATACATGCTTTGATTGTTGTGGTTTGTGCATGTAACAATATTAATTTCAATTGTATTTAGTTGAGAGTCACATTTATCATTTTTTAATGTTTTTTAATAGATCATCTGTTACTGTACTAGATGTATTAATGAACTCCAGTATGTTCCAAGTATGTTAGTTTTTTTCTCTAGGAAAATGTGGCTAACACTACTGATATCTAATCTAAAGCTGATGAAGTTTTTTAAATGTGAGACAGGCAACTTAATTAGCATTTAATTAGCATTGGCAGATGTTGTTCCTAAGCCACTCTCCATCATCTTTGAAAAGTCACGGAGAACAGGAAAGCCAAGGACTGGAGGAAAGCCAGTGTCACTCCAGTGTCTTCAGAAAGGGAAGAAGGATGACCCAGGAAACTACAGGCCATTCAGCATCGCCTCAGTCCCCAGAAAGGATGCACTGCCAGCAGGTTACAGGAGGTGATTTTGCCCCTCTACTCAGCCCTGACAAGGCGGGATCTGGAGTCCTGTCTCCAGTTCTGGGCTCCCCAGTTCAAGAAAAACCAGGAGCTATTAGAGAGGGCCCAACCAAGTGCTATGAAGGTGATGACGGGACTGTAGCATCTCTTTTAGGGGGAAAGGCTGAGAGAGCTGGGACTGTTCAGCCTGAAAAAGAGACAACTGAGAGGGAATCTTATCAATATATACAAATATCTTAAGTGTGGGTGTCAAGAGGATGGAGCCAGACTTCTCAGTAGTGCCCAGTGACAGGATAAGGGGCAACGAGCACAAACTGAAACATGAGAGGTTCCATCTGAATATGAAGAAAAACTTCCTTACTGTGAGGGTGACTGAGCATTGGAACAGGCTGCCCAGAAAGGTGATGGAGTCTTCTCTGGACATACTCAAAACCCACCTGGACGTGATTCTATGCAACCTGCTCCAGATGAACCTGCTTTAGCAGGGGATTGGACTAGATGATCTCCAGAGGTCCCTTCTAATGCCAACTATGGTGTGATTCTCTGTTTTACATACAGCATGCTAAGTATGTAAATGTTTAGCTCTAGAAAATTTACATTAATCAAATATTAGGAGTTTTAAGTTGACACTGTAAGAAGGTAAAACAGTAAGAAACAAAGAATCAGGGCATTGCAGAGTTGAAGTTACTACTGCAGTATTAACTGATTGCACTTAGAAAATATGGTGAAATCTACTTGTTCTAGTTAGAACAGCTGGGACCAGTTCATCATGGTATGGGTGTAACCCAAAACTGTGTATTCTATAGCCTTCCATGCCATTTCCCAGAAACTGTTATCAATAGAGCATTTACACCATCTGCCCATAGAGCCTGACTCCTCAGGCTATAAACTAGGTGTTAAGAGGCCTGTGAGATAGGAGGGTGCTCTTGTCCTCATGTCCATTGAGGAACCTCCTGCCCTGAGGGAGATACTGGGCATTCCTGCCTGAACTGGAGGATATATAATCTTGGAGTCTTGGGACCTTTTTTAACCACCCGTGGGATCCAGAGGAAGACTGCAGATCACCGCTCTCAACCAGACTGCAGACCACCACCCTATACTGGACTGCAACCACCACTCTCAACCAGACTGCAACAGCACTCTCACCAACAGGTTTTCCCCTCTCCTTTTGCTTTGGACTCAGGGGGCCCAAGGAACACCACTCTGTTCATGCCCCAGGGTGCTGGGTTATACATTTGGGGTTTGTGGGTTAAAACCAATTGTTTGTCTGTATAATCATACTTACTGTATTATTTTATTAAATTGTTATTCTGCCTTGTAATCTCTCTTTTGAGTTGAGTTCATTTCCCCTGCTGGTTTACCTTTAAACCAGCACACTACTCTAAATGTATTCTTTTTTTTATCCATTACATAGAAAATATAGAATGTACAACTTAGGTCAATTAATATTTGAATAGAAACTGTAACTCTGGAATTTCCTGACTTTCTTCTTGATTTATCGTTCTCAATGTTAGATGTTTGTTTTCTGTGTACTAGTTTCTACACATCAAATAATGCAAATGCAAGTGATTTTATGGCCTATTTGTGTACCTAGTGAAGTCAATAGGAAAAATTGCGATTAGTTTAGTGAGAAAGGGATCAGGAACTTGCTTTAACTGTTAACAAGCTGCACCGATCACAGTCTCTCACTCCTCTTTCATAATTATATTGTAATATATAGCATGGCTCTGTATTTTCAGGAGGATTGCTTTTTTCAGTTATCATGGACTAAAATCCACTCTAGCATTGGAAGTTAAAAATCTCAGGACTACATTCCTTTTTTCTTTTGCACGAGGTTCCCATGACTTTAGTGTATTATTCTGAATTGGTGGAGATAGAACAGCAGACTGACTCCCTATAGTTTATTTAAACTCCTGTTTTGACATTCTGTTTCTGCTCTAGATGTTTAGTGTCCTGCATCCCGAGTTTCTATTGTATTAGCGTTAATCTTTTTCTTTAGTGATACCTCTTTTTTTTTCAGGAAAGTTAAGTTTAAAGCTTGTATTTCATGGGCCTTTACGATACTCAACATTTGGAGATCTCTACAATGCTAAAATGATATTCATTTGTGTCTGTTGTGTTCTTTTGCTGGAGAAAGTAATGAAGAGAAATCTCTGTAGAAAAATGTCATGAGAGAGGAAATTATCATAGCACAAAACTATATATCTAGGAGCCTTATGTGAAAGTAATTTAGCCTATTTTTTAAGAAAGGTGATGAAAGCTCAAGTTATGTCTGTTAGTACCTATGTTATGTGATCATACTTTAAAAGATTTTTTTGAATTCAAAATTAAGCCCATTACAAGTAGATGCATTCATTAGAAGTACTCTCTAACTTTTATCCTGTCTGCTAGAGACCTTGACAGCTCCTTTAGAAATACTTTGGGGGTGTAAAATGCTAGAAAAATATTATAAAGAAAGCCATAAGATTAACTTGTGCAAAAAGGGGAGTGTTCTAGGTGAAAACATGAAGATATGTATGTCATTTTCATCATAGAAAATCATGCAAGAAGATCTAGTTATTTTCTCAAGTCTGAGTTAGTATTTTAAATATCTGTGTAAGGAGCCACTTGCAAAACAAACTGGTAAAACTACAGGGTTTATACTAGAAATCAGGTCTGGTACAATAATACAGTATAAAAAATTCTGTAAGAAATACTTGAAAGTAGTCTATATGGTAACAAAAGTATTTGGTTGTAGAGCTATAGTCTACTGAACAAGGACAGTTTATCTCCTTAATATAAGACTAAAAAAATATCTGTAAAGAGTATGTAGTTCTTCTCTTCAATTTAAATATCTTTTAATTTTGTGTTGATTTTTTTTAAAGGAAGCTGCACCTACAGAATCTCTGCTTAACTGGCAAGACTATGAAGGACGAACTCCCCTTCATTTTGCTGTTGCAGATGGGAATGTAGCAGTTGTCGATGTCCTGACCTCCTACGAAGGCTGCAATGTAACATCTTATGACAACTTGTTTCGAACTCCCCTTCACTGGGCAGCCTTACTTGGTAAACTGGACAATGCTGAAATCATTTAGTCATTAATTGACTGTAGTGTTTAATCTTTGTCTGTGATTTTTATTTCATTCCAGCCTGACATTATGCAAACTAATCTTCTAGAACAATAGTAGTTTCTGCTAGACCAAGAGTAGAAGTCTGTGTGTCAATTGCTTGTTTTAGCTTCAGATTCTCTATGAAGCATTGTAAAATGCAATACTTCAGGAGGCTATATATGCTGATGGTTTAAGAACAGTTAGAGCACATTGAGATGTTCTGGCATATGTGGCTTTGATCATAGGTTAAAAAAGCCAGTGGTACGGTGGTGTCTGAAGTGGTGTGTGCACACGCCAGCATGAATGCAAGACAATCTATTGGAGTACTTGAAGACAATATCAGAACTTGTTTATTTTTTATCTGAAAAAAATTAGAGAACTTTACTAATATTTCATATATGGATTGATGCTAGTACCCTCACTTGGGCCACGTGTAAGATGGCCACATAGGGTTTGTGAGGTGCCTGAGAGAGGAGAGTAGCTCCACAGCACAAAGTGATTGACAGTGGCATCATCAGTTGTGTTCACTTTCAGCCTATTGTGATGTATTGCAGTTTATGTGTGCTCAGTTAAGTGGATTTATGATTATATTATCTAGTTTTTATTAAACTACCCCTCACAAAATAAACAAATGACTTAAAAAGATTCCCACAAAGAAACCACAGATAATCAGATAATACCAGCACAAGTGAACAACAAAAAAATGGCAGAGCTGGCACTTCTCCTACTTCTAGAAAAAGCTCTTTATCAGTCATGTTATGACAATCTAATCAGATCTTACAACAAGTTTTATTCAAAAAAGGGTTTTTTTCTGTTCAGATTGTTACCCTGAGACTCAGATGCTCTGTAAATTTTAACCTTGCGTATGTGAATTCTGCACAGTTTGATTTTACAGGTTACAAAACTGGATCTTTGCAAAACAAGTTAAAACTTAATTAAATAGAAAAAGTCTTAATGCAGGGAAAGACAAACCATAAAATTATAGCCACAAAAATAATATGATTTAGAAAATTGACTTCCTATTTTCCATTCTTCTATGTGCAGGAGGAAAAAATAATCACCATGTACTAGATAAAAGAATCTTCAAACAGTCTCTCTCCCCTTTTAACAGGCTTCATCCCAATGACCCTTTGGGACACTGCAAACAAAGAATGCCAATAAAAGAATCATATTGCTCACTGGAGCAAGTTACTGCAACTCCAGTGACAATATACATGTAGTTTGGTTATGTTTATTAAAAAAAAAAAAGAAAAGAAAAAAATAAGGATGTTCTCAAATTTGCATTTGCATTGAAGTAGGGATACTGAATATTTACAGAGAAATTATGAAGCATTTTAAGTGTCATAGGATCAGTCTCCCAAAGAAATACTCATTACACTTGGTTCTGCCCAAGAAGCAAAATTTATTGTGTCTTGAAATTGATTGTATTTAAGAGAGAAGTTTTGTCTCTTGGAAAAATGGATTGTCTAATCAATGTAGAATAAAGGGCGAAGATGTGCCAAGACCTCCAAGAGTACTTTGTGAACTTGATGAGATCTCTAGGTGGCACGGGCCCTTGGGGAACTTGTGGTTGGTAAATCATTATTAATTTTTATGCTTCTGGTTTTAAGTTAAATACTAAATGTTATATGTAGATCTCAAAGAGACTAAGATGTTACTATATAGGTTAACCGTAGGAAATTTAAAGTAGTGCAGGGTTACAGCCACAGATTTTCTGTAGGGATGAGGGATTGCATGTGACTGCATCTTAGGATGCTGTTGCTTCTGTTGCCTTTTCTTTTGTGTAGATAAAAGTCTCAGCCAAGTTAGATCTCTTCTAAGTAAAAGTATTACAGAAACAACAGTTCTTGACTTCAAGAAATAAGTTTTAATCCTTACATTAATGTCCAAGTGAGATCCATCTTTGCACCAATTTGTTTACTGTTGCACACAATACAAATTTTTTTTCAACTCCCTGAAACTTTCTTTCCCGTAGATGATTCAGCTAGGCCTCCTGTCCTGATCAGAGAGTTAAATTCCCTTTTTCTAGTTGTCTGTCCTGAAAGTTCAGGCAACTGTTTTTCAGGCTCAGTACTCCTATGGTTTTCCTGCTAGAATTGCACTCCAAATCAACTTCTCCCAGTGCACCTCACTTTACTTCTAATAGTCTTCAGGTGGGAAGAGCATAGCAACATTACATCTCTTCTTTTTATGCTTTCAAGCAAGCATATGAATGAATCAGTTGACTTTAGTAGCAATATACTATACTCTGTTTTCCTGTCTATGAAGTCAATATAAATTTTACCCATCCCTCAAAAATGTTGTGATTTTAATCTAAAAATATTCTAATCTGTTTTGATGGAAGGAGTTGTGTGTGAGTTTGTTGTTTATGGTACCTGGTAGTAGACTGACCTCCAGATTCTGATACACATTTTCAGTTGAAATTTTGGTTAAACAAATCCTAAGTAAAGAATTTGCACTTGATTTCTGTAAAACAATGTGACCTATGATGAAATTGTCAATGTTAGTTTAGCCTGTCTTTTAATGTACAAATAATGGAGAAATGCTCATCGTCATCAGTCTATGATCACTTTACTGTTTCTGACTGACCTGTCACTCAAATGCAGTGTCTCAGCTGAATTGTCATAAGCTTTTTCTGGAAAAGTTCAACTAATTCGTTGCAAAGTTTTGTTTGGGTTTGGTTTGTTGTGGTTTTTTCTTTTTTTTTTTTAATATTGAGATGTTTAACTTTAGGATTTGATATTTATCTGGTTTTATTATGTTATTTTTCTCAGGTCATGCACAGATTGTCCATCTCTTATTAGAAAGAAATAAGTTTGGAACCATCCCATCTGATAGTCAAGGTGCAACACCCCTACATTATGCAGCGCAGAGCAACTTTGCTGTAGGTAGCACGTACCCTAAATGTGAAGTAAATGTATTTTGCTGAAATATTTATAGTGTAACAAAGTGTTTGAGTTGTTTTTGAAATCATATAAGCACGGTGTTGTTGGCATGAGTTCAATTCAAACTTTTCCTATGTTATGTGATGTAAGTGTGGTTAATTTCAAACTATTAAAAATAGATTTTAAAAAAACTAACCTGCTGTACAAAGAAAGGCACTTTGAGCTATATATTTGCATCAGGACACACAATAGTCATTCAGGTGCTTCAACAGAAAGCAGAATGGCACCTTCCTTTTTACAGTCCTTTTACTTTTTAAGGCTCATTGTAGCAAAATCTAAGCAGTTATAAGCAGTATTTAGAGTGAGATGACCTGTATGAGTATTTACACAGCTGCTGCAGTACCAGTCAAACCAGTCTTTGCATTCAAGAAGGTGATTAACTTAGGAATATTTGGTATTATGAATGAGCTGTTGTCTCATAAAGCATGGCTGAAGAGTTGAGTAACTTTTATCATAATTCTTCAAGAGCACTATATTTTTAAGTTTTTAAAATGTTTTTTAAATTCAGACAACAAAGAAAATTGGTTTCTCAGACAGCCTAATTCTTACTTTGGTATAATAGGTATTTTTTTCCCAGAGCAAGATCAGATACAGTACTACCAAGTATAAAACTCAGCAGTTTAATGATTGCTGGTCATAGATGTTACAGAAATAGTTCTCAAGTGCTGGAATTGATGAAAGCTTTTCTCAAGCTCCTCTGCCCCTCATAGTTTTCATAACCTTCCTTTATAAAACCCTTTATCAAAAGGGTTATTTAGTGCCTAATTATTGTAGTTATGTAGTCCATATTGCAAAATGTTCTTAACAGGGATACTAATTTAGGTCTTTCTTGCATACCTGCATGTTAATTTTATCTGGAAGTACAATTGAAAGAGGGAACTGACCAATGTCTGTTAATGCTACAGCTGACACCTCATGCCTCCTTCTGAGAGTGAGTTTTGGGAGTTTGATGGGGTATTTTTGGAGTTGATCTTCAGTAAGACCATTCAGATATTTTTTAAATTCAGACTTTTGTTGAAGTATACTTTTGTGTATAACTTTTACTTTTTTAGATAATTATTTTTTGATGCTGGTTATTGTCTGTTGTGGGGTATGTACTATTTGGGTCTAACTCACACACCTAAAGTACTTGTGTTGTAAAAGGCTTTCTTTCAAGTTTGAGTTAACTCTTAGATAGAATGCTTGTATTTACTGTCTGGTGATTAACTCTGCATTCTTTTATCTTTTTTCTTTTCTATATTGATACATTTCTAAAAAACGATTTTTCATACTGGCTTTCTTTCTCCGGGCTTGATTCAGTTGATTGAAACATCTTCATTTTGTTGCTGCCTTTTGATCTCATCAGCCAGGCAAATATAATATCATTTAGGTTTTTTATGGAAAAATAAAGTACGTGGTGGAATCAGACATTCTTTAGTAATCTTGTGTACTTACAATGAATGTACTGTTTCCCATCTTACACGAAGAAACAAACAGGAGAGTTTCATTTAGATCTGCAAACCTCTTTTATCTGGAGACATATTCAAAAGCCCTTGCCTAAATTATGTCTGAAGCCTCTCTCTGTTTTTACTAGTCCAGTTGTTTCAGAGCACCACTGTTTGCTTTTTTTTTTCTCCGTTATATGCATATAATTGAGTAATTCTCATCACTGCATTCCATATACATAGACACGTAACTGAGTGGAGACACATCCATGTTCTGGCATATAGAGTAACAACTCTATATTTACAGGTTGAGATTCACATTGTTGTTCTATTCAGTCTGCCCAAGTTTGGATAGGTGTGGTGTGTTCCTCAGTTAGGTCCTTAGTCCCTAATACGAAGACAGTTTGTTCTTTTGTGTTTATTGTAAATATTTGCATGGCTTTCAGTTTTATTTGCTTCGATATTTTGTTCTTTCTTCTGTTTTTTGCTGGCTACTTCCTATAATATGACATTTTTGGTTTTTTTAAAGACTGAAGAGATTTAGCCAACTCTTAATTTATGTGAAGAATTTGTTCCCTAGGACTAACTTATCCCCACTTACTACAGACAGGAAAAATTCTAGAAGAGAAGTTACCTAATATAACCACCCAAATAGGTTGCCTGAAATTTAGATGGTGTAGAACACCCAAATAAACATCTCTTTTTAAATTCATGTGTGAAGGAAGATGCTCTATTTGTATTGACTTCAGTATGCAGAATGCAGAGCTAAATATATTTTTTTCCTGAATTTTTCCAGAAGAGTCCAAAGCAATGTACTTTCCTTTCACATACTCATATAGATAGATCTAGTAAATGAAATGTGGATACTCTGTCTTATTCTTAAATATTCAAAAATAATATTTAGTATTTTTCAGAGTTTCCTGATAGCACAAAATAAAGTGATACAGGTTTACCTCTATGCTTTACTGTTATTTTTCAACTTTGTTGTTTTTTATGGTTTTTTCTCCACTTTTTTTAACAGTGCTAAAATACATGTGATCTTACGTAACAAAATACATGTAGAATTAAGCTGGTTGGTACTTCTATTTTCTGAGTTCTTAATCATCCTGTTGTAATTTAATTTCACTTTGCTTTCAAATTGTGATAACTTCATTTTGGAAAATAACAATTATAGCACTGTGGGATTTTCTTCCATTTTTTTCCAATTAAAAACTGTAGAAAGGAAAGGGTAGTTGAAAGAAACGCTGCTTGGCTAAACTTAATGGAAAAATAAAATTACTAATTTGTATTTTTCGAATACGTGCCTTAATATTGAAGAAGTGCAACCTCCACAGTGCTTTTTGCTTTGCAGGATTTCAAGCAGTGCAGAGTATTGGTAGGGGGCTGAGTTGCTGCCCTAACGAGAAGCCATTTGTGTCTGAGGTGTAGTGGTGGTCACAGAGCTATAAACACATGTTGGTTTGTGTGGAAGGCTTAGTGTGGAAGGCTTAATGCTTCCATTTCTCATTGTTTCTGGCTGGACCTTTGTACAATAAATTGATAGTTCAGACCTAAATTCACAAAGCTGTAAGGATCTTAGATCATATTAACATAAGATAAATGAGAAATTTCCTATTTCTTTAGAGGGATGGAATTATAAGTAGTAGTGAAAATAAATTCAAACTAATCAATAGTACTTGGGTATTTAAGCACCTTTGTGATTATTAGCATTTAATTCCTTGTAGACAAGAAACTCTCATCCTATCCAGAGCAGTGATAGAGCCATTTTGGGGTCACATAGGGAGAGGGCTAAAATAGTGTTAATACTGAAATGTCAGTGTAAAGTAAAATAACGAAACCTGCGATTTTTTCAGTTCTTATTGGCTAGCCTATCAGTGACTCTTCAGAGATGTTTTTTAGCTGTTAAACACACAGCCTTTTAAGGCATTGGATAGAAAAAGGAAAATCTCCTTATTCTTTTTCTAGCACTTGTAACTTTCTCTTCCTTCCTTTCCTGTGTGACTTATTAAGAATCTAGGAGCAGGTTAAAAAAGTGGACTTGTTTACTGAGAGCTTAACACAAACACAACATTTGAAGAAATAAATCTTTTTGCTTTGATTTAAATAGAGATTTTAGTGTAACAGTTGCAGAGGAAAGTCTCAACTCAGTTGTAAAGATTTTCTTAATCTTTTCTGATTTATAATATTTAAGTAATTAGGAACCTGTTGATATTATTAAATATTAGAAAATATATCTGTGTTGCCCCAAAAGTATTTTTTTTAATAGTTAAATTATTAGGGTTTGACAAAGTAAAATATTTACATGTGCAGTTATATTTGTAATGGGAGAAAAAATATGTTGGAAGAATATTTCGAAGGGACATTATTTTCAGGGGAGGTTCAGGTTGGACATCAGGAGGAATTTCTTCACAGAAAGGATGATTAGACATTGGAGTGTGCTGCCCAGGGACGTGGTGGAATCACCATCCCCGGAGGTGGTTAAGGAAAGGCTGGATGTGGTGCTCAGTGCCATGGTTTGGTTGACAGGGTGGTGTTTGGTGAAAAGGTTGGACTTGATGATCTCAGAGGTCTTTTCCAACCTAAATGATTCTGTGATTTTTATCATCATTGTATTGCAGTAATGTTTTGATAAACCAGTAATATTTTTCCCATTGCTTTCTTCTCAGTGACTACAGTGTCTTTTTCTTCATTATGATGAACACATGATGTCTGACACTAAAAAGAAAAAATTATGAAATAAATGACAGTGTTAAACTCCTAGTTAAGAATACACTATGATTATTGGTGAGGAAAAAGGCATAGCAGAAAATACAGTGCTCCTGTTGAGTTATTACTCTTTATAAACATGAAAAGGAAAAACTAAGCTTTGATTTGCTTCATAAACAGCTAAATGAGACACAGTAGTTTCTTGTTATTACAGATTCCTTTAAATCTTAATTTCAACAGTATTTCTTTTCAGGAAACAGTTGAAGTATTTTTGAAACATCCTTCTGTAAAAGATGACTCAGATCTTGAGGGAAGAACATCCTTCATGTGGGCAGCTGGCAAAGGCAGTGATGATGTTATTAGGACTATGCTGACTTTAAAATTGGATATTGATATCAATATGACAGACAAATACGCTGGCACAGGTAAGATGCTTTACAGCAAAGAGCCACTGGACATTTCTGGTCAGTGTGATTTCCATCAGAAAAAACATTTTTAGAAGCTATATTAGCCTTTTCCTGGATGCGTGCTTTAATCCTGAAAATATTTCTGCATTAGTTTAATTATGTATGAGTGTCAATTCTTTGCCTTATTGTGGCAAAGAAACAAACCTTTTCTTCATGGATTGTATCAGTTAATTTGAAATATAGCAAGAAGTACTGCTATGCTGCTACCTAGATCTGGATCCTGGAAAAGGGAGAGCTGTTCTGTATTTTGAAGAATAAAATGAAATATAATTGCATAAAAAGCCCTCCCTGAAAATATCTATTAAAATGTATTTGTCAGTAAATACATACTTTGAAACAATATGGAGCAAACTAACCAGTGAAGTTGTAAGTACCATAGTTGTTTGTAAAGGTAGTGTAATAAAGATTAGAGCTATTGCACTTCTGTTGTCCAAAAAGTGAGTCAAACTTGATATCCCCCAAGTTTATCACCCCATTATCTGCCCAGAGCAAAAGATAGGTATGCAGCACAGTGATTCAGGATTCAAGCATGCAAGTCATGAAATTCAAAATTTCCTGTATAATATATGAATTTATCTCATTCATGAAAAAATATAAGAATTTGTGGTATAAATATTGTACTTATGTAATGTTTTCAACAAAAACAGGATAACAATTCTGACAGGTGTCAAAGTGTTTCTGCATTATTTATAGAAAAAGAGGAGACTGTGGATATACTGGGCATAAATTGGAGGGGTTTGATAGCAGGAAGCTTCAAACAGTAAGATGTGTAGGAGGAGGTCAGGAACTACCCAGTGCCACACAGAGCCAGGTCACAATGTTAGAAGTTAAGTGCAAAACTGTATACCTGTGTATAATAAGTAGTAAAATGACAGCCAAGCTCATAGTCAGACCACACATCCATGAATAATACAATAAATACAATAAATACAATAAATACAATAATACAATAATACAATAAATACAATAAATACAATAATACAATAAAGGGCATTTCTCCTATGTAATTTTAAACAGATAAGAATGTATAATTGCAATGTTTGTTTATATAAATTTTCATGTATTTGTTGACTGCATACATATGCAAACTAACCTAAGCTGCATGGTTAGATTTAGGAAACTTACAGTGTCTCAACCAAGAAATAAAGATATGAGTTTAACAGCTTTTCTCTTTTCAGAGTGCACTTTGAATAACATACAAATGGTAAATAAATGTCACGTTAGGGTTGTGTGGTTCAGGATTTTTAAACGTAGATTGTATGAATATTATTTTCATATTAAAATTTGAATTTCTTTCATTTTCTTTGGTGATATGCTGGGTCTCAACAAAAAGCAAAATACACTTAACATAAAATTCTATTCAAATATCTAAACTCTTGCTTTTCTTACAGTTTAGCACACTGAAAAATAATCAGTCTTTCCAAGTTGTGGTAGTTTGTAATTTTTGAGTTTAAGAAATACTGCAACAAATAAAATATCAGTCTTCATGTTTAATGACTTTAAAAGCTATATACTCTATGATTGTATTAATTTCATCTTTTATCAGTCTTACCTACATTTGCTACTTCCTGACAGTTCCCTTTTAAATACTTTACAGTACTCGTTTCAGACCTTAAGGTGGAGTAATGTAGTTACTGTGCAAACCTCCTTACAAAAGGTTTTCTTCTTTGCAGACAGTACTCACATACCGTGTTTCTGAAATTACTCAGGTGTGGATTTCATGCTTGAATAATTCAGGTGGTTGGGCTTATTATCTTTCGGTCTTAAACCTTTTGTAGCAGTGATCTGTAATCACTTCTTAATCTTGATTTTGTTGTAGGGCTTTTAATCCAAGGAACTGAATGGGTTTTCCATTTACTTTAAAGTGCCGTTGTGGAGAACACACAAATAGTCCTAAAGTGGGGAACTGTGCTGTTTGTCGCTTGCTGTCGAGCAGCCTGAACTAAACCATTGTGCAAGCAAGTGCAGTAGCATGGGCTTTATTATAGGGAGCTGCAAACATTAAAGGAAGCACACCAGTAAATCACTCTCTGATTTTTTTTACAAAGGTTCTTAATCATTCCCAATTTTTGGTAAGGGAAAAGTAGCGTTGCATTCCGATGGGAAACTACGCACTAGTAGAAAATAGTGTACATGCCACCGTCCCTGGGATACAGTTGCTGAGGAGAGTTCGAGGTTGTGTGTTTCTGACTTTTGTGTGCAACTCAGTTAAGCTCAGTTATAATGTTGCGTTAACGCAGCCTTTTTGCATTTACTTAAAAAAGAGCAAGCTCTCCATTCAGCTTTGCTAGAACATCGAGACTCTCAGTATTGTGTAGGAGAATGACACCAAGGGAAAGGAATTTCCCTCTTCTCAGAGATCAGCGCTGCAGGAGCATTACAGGGGCAGCTTTATAGCTCTGCCGTCACTGCGCACAATGGAGAGGGCTCTGTCTGTCGGCTCAACAAAGGGCCTATTGTAACCAACTGGCTGAAGAATCTCTTCAGTCACCGTGACTCCATCACAGAAAATTTGGCTTACAAGAAAATATTGAGCACAAAGTGCGAAACGAGATGCCTGCGTCAGAATGAGTGATAGGGGGGAAGAACCAGCCAAGCTGACACAGCAGCTCTTTTTCTATTGTATTGTTACACACACCCCATGTGTCATCTGATGGAGTGGTTTACTGCCTTTGGTTTCATAAGAAATTCAGGACAAAAACCAGAACCTAGAGTTTACTTTGAGGTCAGACCATGAAAACCAGGCCCTTCCCAATGTACGAAGCGGCAGGGATCTCATTCTTGTTGAATTTCTACTGATAGCCACCCACTCACATGGCTGCTGGAGATGCGCTTATTTTTCATGAGCTCGGTGAGCACTGCTGTGCTTTTTAGCTGCAACAGTTAAACATCAGTGTCATCTCAAAAGCATGATTTCAATTACTAAGGCAGCACTTCTCATAGTGTCTCTGACTGTGACCCCAGTGCCTCATTCATCTGTATCACAGTTCCAGTTGCTATCACTGATATTGAGACTCTGTTTTATGGCAACACACTTCAGCTGGATTAGGTTCATGGACAATATGAACAACCTGAGCATTTTATTAGTACCTGTGTAACAGGTTATACTGGGTTACTGTTTCATAAGGTGTGCGGAGTTGGTACCACTGCTACACAGTAGCTGGCAGATACAAAAAGCCAGACTGTTTTGATATTCGGGCTGCAGTTCAAGAAGCAGTTCCTTCTCACACTGGGCTTCGTGATGTGCATTTCTGTGTAATGCCTCTGCTGGATCCTGACCCTGTCTGTTTTAATATTAAACAAATGCATGTAGGTACCTAAAACAAGACATGTAGATACTGTTTAGAGCCCCATATTTTTCTGGCTTGAGCACGCTCAATTCTCACTAAGGATGAATACCTCTGAAATTTCACAGGGAACTCACTTTATTAAATGCACATTTATGAACTGCACTCTTTTGTGTTTTTATTCTAAATTATTTTGGTTTTCTTCATCTGTAAAATATTCCACATGTAAGGCAGTGTGAGAATGTAGGTTGTCTGATTTGATTGCTGACTGTAGGAAATAATCCAAAGCATTTTGATTTCAAATTGTAAATAAAATCACCAGTATATGTGCCCTCCATTGGTTTGAAATCTCACTGCTCTGTGTAGTTCTCCTTTCCTTCAATAAGAATTGTGAACTGGTCAGACTGGTATTCCAACATTTTCCTCAACTCCAGCTGACAGTGCCTGCAGGATGGCAATAGTAACTCCAGTTACAGGACACCACATCTAGAACTCCGAGTTCTGAAGTATCTGAAGTAGTGTAGTTTTCATTCAACTGAACATCATAAATTGTAGAGATGAGACAAAATGCAATACCTGGTTTGTAATCTTTTTTTTTCCTGAAGAAACCAGGGAGCTGGAGATACTGTGCAAGATATGATGGCCTTAGTACAAAATTTTGTGTAAAATTTTTTCCAGAAAGGCTGGGGGAGGAGCAGGAACAGCTGGATGGTAATCTGTAGTTAGTTTTGGTTGAGACAACTTTGTTTATTTGAAAGGAAAAAAAGGTATTTTCAGAAAAGCATTGAAGAAATAATTAAAGGTTTCTTTCACTGGTGATGGGCAGTCTCAGAAATGCCACAAAACAGAGGCAGAAGTAAATAATGTAATATTCTGTTAATCAGAAGCTGCTAATCTTCCACAAATCCTCAGTATAAGCCGATCTCGGTAGTGTTAAGCTTAAAATTTCCATTTGTGCAAGTTAGAAACGTGTTTCAGGGCTAACAGTTATCCTGCTTATGGCTTATGTGGCAAGAAAATGTTGTTATATAATCACTTGCTAGGATTCTTCAGTTTCTTGTGGTTGAAAAGTACCTTTTCCACCAAAATGGTTGAAATGAATTTTTATTTCGACTGTTCTAATTGTGAAATTCCGAAGCTCATGGTACTGTGGTTTGTTTTTCCTACTCCTTAATTCTTCTAGCATTACACGCCGCTGCCCTTTCTGGCCATGTCAGCACAGTGAAATTGCTGTTGGAGCACAAGGCCCAGGTGGATGCTCTGGATGTCATGAAGCATACCCCGCTTTTCCGAGCCTGTGAGATGGGACACAAAGAAGTGATACAAACACTCATTAAAGGTCAGCTCTTATGACTTTACAAACTTGTCCAGAGTTCTGGTGCTGCTTTCTGTGGGACTGGGAAATAAAGAGATAGCTGAGCAAGAGGTGGGGGTAGGAAATTGCTTCTCTAAAGCGGGTTTTGTCTATAAGTACTCTTTGTGGGATAACACTAGTAAATGTAAAAGATTATCAGATTGTTGTGCAAAATAAGTGTTAAATATAAAACTATCAAGACTGGGAGAGTTCTTTTCACAGCTCATTTCTGCTCAGGCCCTTGCAAGTACATTCTAGTCTCTCAAAGCAACACTTCCCCCCAGCAGATCATTGTTTTTCTTTCTTTTTTTTTTTTTTTTCTTCATCAGAAAGACCAAATTAAGCTTTCTTCACTTTTGTGAGAAAGCATTTCTAGCCTTCTTTGAAGACTTTTGACCATTTAAATGAATCTTTATTTTTTAATGCAGATAGCTATCAAAATCCTACATCATTAATATTTTCCTCTGATTGGTTTTTAGAAGCAGTATTTTATTTGTAGACAGAAACAGGTTTTAACAATGTACACAGTGTTAGATAATTGTAAAATATCTGCTGAAGTGTAAGAAGTATTGTGAAACAACAGTGGTATCCTCGATGTGAAATTCTGTCATTTTAGCTTCCCAGAAACATCTCCCTCCTGCTTCAGACATGATCCCATTTACGAACAGATGAAGTATCCAGGCTAAAAAGTTGCAAGTTTTCCATCAACCATCCTTTCTTACTGAAAAATCTGCTTCCCTTCATGATCTGCTAAGCATATTTTAACCTCTTGTGAAGCTCTTCCTCCCACTCCCTGTGCCATTTAGCTTTTGTGTGTGCAAGAACCTTGTAAACATAACCAAGTTATGTTTAATTATATATTTTATGATATAGAGAGTCATTGTTGCTGGTTGGTTCAAGCTTTTGTATTTGTGGAGTTTTATTTTTGTACAGAATTTTTACATCTTGCAAGAAGACAGAGAAATTAATCTTTAATCTGCATTAAAGAGCTTTAGCATGCTTGAATTAAGAAAAAAATTAAGACTTTTCCAAACATTATTCTTACACTGTAAATATTTCATCTTGCCTGCATTAGATATTTAAAAACAGATTTAATCTGAGGTCTAGTGTTTAAAAGTATTTTTCTTGTTAACAAATAAAGGTTTTGCTGACAATTAATAGGCCTGAAACAAGTAGAGGCTAAGTTTTTCAAGGGCATTTGATAAATCTGGAGATTCTAAAGGATTTGAATAACAAAATTCAAGTTATTTTCAGAAATATTTGTCTAAATTGTCATTTTACCAAATAAGTTCTAGTTGAACATAAACTTATTCTTGTCTTTTCTTAGCATTCAAAAGTGTTTTCTTTTTATGCTCAAAAATATATTTGCTGTTTCAGGAGGGGCAAGAGTAGATTTGGTTGACCAAGATGGCCATTCACCTCTTCACTGGGCAGCCCTGGGAGGAAATGCTGACGTGTGCCAAATCTTGATAGAAAATAAAATCAACCCTAATGTGCAGGATTATGCAGGTAGAACACCTCTGCAGTGTGCTGCTTATGGAGGTTACATTAACTGCATGGTAGTGTTACTGGAAAACAATGCAGATCCAAATATCCAGGATAAAGAGGTATGTTGTTCTTCACTGAGGTATATAATTAACTTTAGAATAACCATACATCAAAACATATTCCTTTTCTTCAAGATCCTTCTCTTTTCTGGGACATAGAAGCATCTTTGCTGCCTCCACTTCAAAAATCTTGTATGAAAAGTAGTATTTTAATGTGCAGCATGAATTGAAGATTTGTATTTTTCCATATCACTTTTGATTTTTCCTTATCAAAGTGTGATTATATGAGGAGTCATATTAATAATCTGATTTCTTAACTTTTGTGATTCCTTATTAACAGCTCACATAGGAATGTGATTTTATAGTCCAAAATGAGTTTCTTTAGCATAGAGACAGAGCAAGAAAGTAAGGTATTGCAAGTGAGATTGCACAAGAACTGTTTCAATTACTAATCCACATAAGTATCCATATATGTATACTGTATCCAGGTGAAAAAAAAAGGAACACTGACTAGGTTATATGTTCTTTTGTGCCATTATTCAAGCAGTTAGTGAAATTAGGAGCCAGAGTAATTGTGCAACCTGTAACAGATCTCTTTCATATATGACATAATTTCTCAGAAGTCGGTAGAACCTCATCAGTCAAAAGAGCTTCACCCAATTTGTTAAATTTTTCTGTAGTTATTCTTTGTAGGGCATAGATAATTCCAAGTAATAGAAAAGTGGTTTTCATTATGAGTTCTTTCTTTTGCAAAGAAAGCAACTCTAGAGCTAGTCTCCTAATGCTACTTTTCAGCTGCTTTAGGTGAAAAAGCACTAGTGTTGTAATCTTGTTTAAAAAAAATAATTTTTAAGTGCTGTATTCTTCTTATTTTAATAAAGAAGTTTATTTAGAACTAGTTTGTCCTTCACATCCAGAAAAGCATTGAATTACACTATGATTTACGACTTTCATTGTGGCATGATAGAGTTTGGGGATAATGCTTATTTTTGTTCTGTTTCTATTGTTTACAGGGAAGAACTGCCTTGCACTGGCTCTGTAACAATGGCTACCTTGATGCTATAAAGTTGCTGCTAGGTTTTGATGCCTTTCCTAACCATATGGAGAACAGCGAGGAGAGGTATTGCTTGTCTCAAGGTGTTATTTTGTAATTTAGCAGAAGTGCTACCTACGATTTAAATGTTGTGTTCAGATATTGCAAGAGAATCCTAATCTTGCATCTAAAAGGAGTCCTGTAATCTTGCACTTCAGTGTCAGCTGCTTTTCTAATGTGAAATTTCTCTCCTTTAACTAAGACATTGCAACTTCAGCTATTTATACTTTTGAACCTTGAACTTAGAGATTTCTGCAAGTATGTACTCACTCTAGTTTTGTTTGATATATTGAAGATCTTTCTCATTTATATGAAGTTCATAATAGGTATGTACAGACAAAGGATGAAAAGGCATTTCTGCTGCTGTTGGAGTAGACTGGAATTTTTCTTTTCTATTTGGTAGGAATTCAGTGAGAAGAAAGAAAATGGGAGAAATGTAATGTTATGTTTTAAAATAGTGATTACAAAGTACCTGGTGGCTAACTGTATTCTAAAGGCCTAGTTTAAAAAAAAAAGTCTCCTATAATCATAAAGAGACAGCACATTTGCATCTCTTTTCTTTGTCTTTCATTGACATATAAATAATAGTTTTTTAAAAGTGATTTGGGTTGTGGAGTTCAAATTAGTCACCTGACCGTGAAGATAATTACTATTAGCAGAAATATATAATGCCTTTTTTTAGAGTAGATGACCTCCTCATAATTATAAATAAAACTATGAACAGTATGCCATATAAATTTGAATATTTCAACATTTTAAATAACTTAAGGAGTTTGAAACCCCATATTTCAGTGCTAAATTTAATACTTCCATACTTATCCCAGTTTTTAGTTGCTTTCTTCTCCCATCATTTCTCTTTTATTCTCTACTCTAAAACACTCAGATTTCTCTTCCCTTCTTGTTCTTATTTTTTATTGAGAAACAGAAATGAAAGTATAGCTAGTTCCTAATTAAGTAGTGCCAGTGCTCTCTTTAATAATTTTTTAATAGAAAATTAAATAAACATTTGTAATTAAATTACTCCTAAAAAGTAAGATTAAAAACCACTATTTTGCCAGAAAGGAGGCTGCTGTTATCTTTACTCTGTAGAAATATACTAATGATGCTCAAATGTCACGAAAAGACCTTAGCTGTGGTTTACCACATTCAGATAGTTATTTTTGTTTTCCTTCTGGCATTTATATATGTTCGTATGTATAAACCTAGATTACTCAAAATATAACTAGCAGTATTCCAAATCTCTGCCATTGAACACTAGTTCATGTGCAGAATAAAAGAGATCCCCAGTATTTCTAGATGAATCAATCTTTAAATATAATTCTGCTAAAGTATATATAGTATATCAAAATTGCACAGTTGTATCTTGATACATATCTACAAATCTGGTTTTACTGTTGAGGGATTGGAAGTTTGGAAAGTAGAAAAATCAAGTTGAGTGTTATAAGAGAGAGTAAAAATAACCTCAGGGATATGGTTCATCTGTTATTGGATGGAATTGTTTTTTAATCAGTAACAATTTCACCAAACAGTAATTTTTTCCCCAATATATCTATAATCAGAAGCTTCCCGTCTTTACTTTCTTAGAGCCCAATATGAGATACCAGTTAAAAATTCAAACATAATGGTTCAAGCTAATTAGATTAGTAAAAGATGAAGCTGAGATTGCATCTAGGATTTTAAACTGCCCATTTGCTTGCCAGATATGTGATCAAGTGCTGGTCTGGAGGGTGCTGGGTTTGTTGTTCTTCGCAAATTTAATTTGTAACTCAATTTACCATCCTGGGTGCATCATGTGATGCAAGGCTAGCTGCTGTTTGACCACCTTTATGCTAAAATTCCTTATAACAGCTGATGGCTGATGTCTTCTTCATGTGTTTTCCTGTGAAGCCAGCTGGATTTGAAAGCTATCTGTTTTAGACAAAATCGGTGGAAAAGAAAATTTATAACAGGCTTTGAACTGACACTACAGAGAAGTGTATGTAAACAGCCTTGAATGGGTAGTGTCCAGTCATACAAATCCCTATTCAGATTTGATTTGAGTGATTTTTTTACTTTCAAAGGTAGCTCTAATGGAGTTATAGAATCTATGTTTAAAAATATGGGTCCTCATGACTGGGACCTGAATACATTGTCTTGGTAGACACATGGTAGTAGCATAAAGTTTGCTTTAGTGTCTTTTTTGTCTTTAAAATATTCAAAATTACGTATACTTTAAAAATGTATTTTACTGGAATTATGTTCTTTCTGAAGTTCCCATTTCTGGGTTATCAAAAATCTGTATCTCTTTAAATGCTACCAGCAACACACCTTGACATACAAATTTTCATGTTATGTCATTGTCTTTATTCCTGCAGACACTTCAGTTCAGATACTGTTAATCCTTCCATCAAATCATTGCTGTGTGGCAAGTCCAATTGTGCTTTCTGTCTGTTTTTCTTTGCTTACCAGCACTGCGTCCTAGCAAGTTACCATCAAGAAGAGCCCTAATTTTCACAATCACATGCATTGACACTGGTTATTTGATAGTCTTATGTTATATGGTCTTGATTATGGTCTGTGATTTTTGGTCACTAAATGTCTCTGCCTAATGTTTCAGTGTTGGTGAGGGAGATATGTAAATTTGGATCCTGCGTTGACAACGGGAAATTTGGGAATTATTTTTAAAAGGGCTTAGGTGGCTTTAAAACCCAAAGAATTTAATATTTTTAACATCTGTGTCTATTTGGAAACAGACTTTAATCTTCCTAGTACTTTAAAAAAGGATATTATCCCTTGATATTGATCTAAACCTGCTGCTTGGTCAGTCATACTGTCCTCAGTTGTTGTTATAGAAGCTAAGACATATTTGACAGTAAGTCTCCAGAACTTAAATTCATATGGAAATAGCACAAAAATGTTTTAACTTACTTTTTTCTTTAGATTTCTATATGAAAACCTCAATAACACCTTTTAAAGGTCACTTGACTAAAGCAGTTAATTCTGTGGATGGGGTTTTGGGAGATTTTGACCAAACACTTCATGTAGTCTGGTCCCTCCCACATTTCCATATGAGGAGAATAAAATAAGTCTTAAACATAATCACAGTGTGTAGAATCAATAGGATAGGAAAACAATACTTAAAAATTAATAAAACAGTGTACTGAAAGCAGTGTTTAATCTCTCTTCATAGTAGAACTTGCCTTAATATGAAATGAGGGTGAAATAAATGCACATTATAGTTAGAATCAGTAATAATTGTTGTGATTTGTTTGGATTTTTTTAGGTATACTCCACTTGATTATGCCTTGCTTGGGGAACACCATGAAGTGATTCAGTTCATGTTAGAGCATGGGGCTCTGTCTATAGCTGCCATTCAGGATATTGCTGCTTTCAAAATCCAGGCTGTCTACAAAGGATACAAAGTTAGAAAGGCTTTTCAAGAGAGGAAGAATCTCCTAATGAAACATGAACAGCTGAGAAAAGATGCTGCTGCCAAGTAAGTCTGAGACTTGAAATCTTCTCCAGCAAATGGACATTTGTCATAAGTTTGTATTCATCAATGTATGATTTTATTTGTTATTCATCATCATTTCTTGTTCTTCTTGGTAAAATTCGTGAAACCAAAGGAAGCTTATAACTCCCATATACCTATAGATAGACGGAATTTATTTTCCATATAATCCCAATTTGAATAATGAACTTTATATGGTATACAAGAGAAAGGCAAAATACCAAAATCTGAGAAACTAGCATGTTTCCATGAATCTTTGCCTGATACTCTGTATGATGATTAAAAGGCTTGGAAAACATCACATTAATGTAATGGAAGTAATTATTGACCTATCAAGTCTTGTTATCAGTTATGAAAAGTAATGAATACATAGTTGAAGGAAAAGAAAAAACAAACGAGGGAAAGCCTGGTTTGGTAAGGCTTAACTTAATGTTTCACAGGAGAGGTTGTGCTTTTCTAGTAAACCGAAATCCTGGATTTATTTGCAATTTCAGTTTTGGCAGTATCATTCTCTGCATTTATGTTTTCTGGTCTTGAATTAGAATTCCTATGAATTGGTTATAGTGGATTATAGATAACTAACATATGCAATTCAAATAGTTATCAGCAAGATGTGTAGATTCTGACTGAGTTTCTACCCTGCTTAAAGGAGGTAAGGGTAGCAAAGTAGTGAAATTAAAAAATCAGAAGGTACGTAAATGCTTTGCTTCCTTGGCCTTTATCCTTAAGATTCATAATATGAAATAAAACAAATTAGCACCTGGTTTCTCTTGAAGAAATCTGATTCTGGGATGAAAAAAGTAACAGTCTGAAAAGATTTCTGCATGACTTTGTAGTATTATTTCTGTAAAGAGAGGTCATATGAAAAAGCCACACAACATAATTATTGCACTTAGAGGTATTTTTGCTGCATCTGTGTATCATAGACAAATTCAGCTGCACTCCATTCTATCAGATTTGGTAGTTTGATGTTCTGCATAACTGGCCAGTGTGACCTTCACTGGGTTTGATTGCTACTATACTATACTGGATAACAATTGTTATTTCCCAGTAAGAACCAAAGCTAGAAGTATCAGATAACTGATCTCTTGCTCACATCTTTAGATCCTGAAGTTGTAACATGTAGCCCTCCTACTATTTGCCTTTTCTCCTGAAGTCAGTAGAAGTCAAAACCATGCATGGAAAAGCTGCCTTTGAAAGTATACCAGATATTTTATGTATTTCTTTTTTAATGTGGAGACCTCTGTGTATTTCTGTGTGGTCACAACTGACTTTACCAAATGAGATAGTTTTATCCTTTGTGATGACAGTCAATTTTAGAAGAATCTATGACACCCCATCTAGAAGATTAAATGGAAAAGAATTGCCTCATGGAAATTTGGGAGTATTTTTGTAATAGTTTTCCTTTGTGGGTTTCTGATGTACTTTCTGAGACTTACTTAGCTCTTGTTGATTTGTTTGAAAACAATAGAATCAAAGTCTGTGTATCAAATACCATAAAAACAGAATTACAATACAACTGGAGTGTACAAGCAAATCAGGTTGTCACATCACAAATTTTATTTAATTGCAATTTTATGATCTGTAATAAACTGAAGGGGACATTATGTTGTCATCATTCTTTGTACCCATCTGTGCATTCCACAGCTGAAATTGGCCAGGGTGTTGCTGCATACAAAAAAAAATAATATCCCTACTGATGTTTAAAAATCTGCTCTCCAGATAAAAGTAGTCATTATGTGGCAATCCAGAATGATGGTGAACTCCTAGATTGAACACCACCCCCCCACACACTATTTCAGTGTATGTATTTAAAACTTGCTTTTTAATATGTTGTTTTAGAGGGTCTCATGAAGATAAATCACTTCTAAATCTGCATGATTTAATTAACCTGTTCTTTTTTTTCCTTTTTTACCCTAACTAAAAGTCAGCCAGCATCTTGTACCTGTATTATTTTCTGGTGAAGTTACATTCACTGTATTCAAAGCCTGTGAATTATTTCTATACAAACATCTTCTCCCATGTTCTCTTGTATATCAAAGAAATGGTAATTTATAAAATGCAGATTGATGCAGACAAAACCAACGTGCACACTATCATACCATTGAGCAAAGAGACATATCAGGAGACCAAATTGGGTTAGCAGGGAAGCCATGGCAGAGGTCAAATGCAAAAAGGCAGTATACAGGAGGTAGAAGTAGGGACAGACTGCAAAGGAAGAGTGTAAAAACATTGCTTTGGCATGTAGAGATGGTACCATGAACACCAGAACTCAAATGGAGTTGAGGTTTTAAAGGGATGTTGCAGGTAACAAGGTGGGTTTCTGCTTCTACATTAATAGAAGTAGTAATACATTACTACAAGGTTGAGCAAGGAATATGTGGGGCTGTTGTCAAATGGTGCATTTAGTGACAACAGGCCCAGGTGTGGCAGAAGTGCTCAATGCCACCTTCTGCTCAGTCTTCCAGAAGAAACTCTCCCAGGCCTTTTTTCTTAGAGAAGTGTTTCAAGGAGGAGGAGAACTACTAACTGTGAATGAGGATTAAGTCAGGGGTGGCTTGAGAGAACTCAGCCCAGACAAGTCCATGGGACCAGATTGGCTGCATCCAAGGGTGGAGAAAGAACTGATGGCCTCAAAAGGCCACTTTCCAACATCTTTGAAAGACCACAGAGACTAGGGAAGGTCCCCTGTGATTGGAGGAAAGCAAATGTTGTACCCAGCTTTAAAAAGGGCCAGAAGAACAATCTGTGAAACTGTATTCTGGCTAGTATCACTTTGGTCCCTGAGAAAGACAGGCACCCACTTGTCCACCTTCCCATTCAGCTTCTCAGAATGAGCTCCTGCTACCGTGTTTCTGGTTTTCATTCTGACCAGTTAGAGGAAACTGATTGAGGGTGGATGTGGATGTGAAAGGGAAATGGATGAAACTGGGTAAGAGAAAGTAACTAGTGATATTTAGGAAAAGAAGAACAGTAAGAAAATAAACAGTTCAATTACACAGTCTTCAGAAAGATTTTGAAAAGCACCAAGAGACTACAAGCAGATTATGAGGTTTTTCAAAAAATTAGTTATAAGGCCTGAATGTTGAGAAAAAAAAGGGGAGTGTAGCAACAGAGAAACTAATGAGCTCTTCAGCGACCTGAAAATTGAAAGCACGCAGGGGAAATTTGGTGTAATTACTAAAATTGAGGGTAATAAGAAATACAGTTATAAAGTTAAACAAGCTGAGGTGCAAAGTAAAAAGAACTGGCAAGGGATGTGACGTATCACAATAAACCATTGTAAACATACTCATGGTAAAAGGAAGAGTAAAGAAAGAGTTGACCCGCAAGTGATGCTAAGAAAGCTGAAGTGTTTCATGTCTTTTGGGGTTTTTTGTTTTGTTTTTTTTTTTAATTCAAAAGAATTGATATCAAACCAACTCAATTTTTGTTTGTGTCAGAATAACAAGTTTTGTGGCCATGAAGAAACTGTAGCTGTCATTCAGGCTTGCCTTAAGTTTTCATACTTTCTCATGGAAAATTTCTCGTTTCTCTCCTTTAAACTGGAAGTGTATATTGATGAGGATTTCAAGTATATCCATCATGAATCTGAATTTTCATTTAAAAAGTAAAATGTTAAATCTGAGAATAGCACCGAGTTGCAGAAGACTGTAAGCACGTTGAAGACTAAATTTGAAATCAGAACGGTGTTAAAATACATATGAGAAATGTCTGAAGAAAAAATAAATAGTCAGGGAAGGACAAATAGACTGCTCTACGCATTTGACTGCCAATCAACACAGAAATGCTGGACAGAAATTAACAGTTGTCTTATCATTTTTATTATCTTTTTAAAAGGCTGCAGTAGATCAGAAGCTGAACATGTCATGAGTCAGCAGTGTCATGCTTTTAAAAACCATCATGCTAGATTGTATAGCAGGGGGTGGCTGTTTACACAGCATGAAATACAACTCCTCTTACTCCAGATAAAGCTTCACCAGTAGTAGAATCATACCAGTTGAAATTTTTTAAGTAACTTTTCTTTTTTTTTGCAAGCATAAATTTGAAAATGCTGTCCAGGTATATGGACACGTTCTAAATTTAAAACATCATCCAATGAGTAGATAAAAAAGTAAAGTGTTCTTGACAAAATAGAAAAGGTTGAATTCACATGAGCAGGATCAAAAATTCAAAGAGTCTCTGTGTCTTCAGTAATATGTAAGGCTGAAACTGTTCCTTACCATCTGCTAAAGGTTCAGTTTTCATTCTTTCACTTTTGCAACAAAATACAAATTTATGGCCATTCTGGACAAAATTCTATTGCATTTACAGTGGAAAATATTGGCTTGCCAGCTCTGCTACCACTGTTGAGCTGTAGATGTCTAACTTTAGAGCCCAAATTTGGATCCTGCTGAGTCGTCAGAAACCTCCTGAGAATGACTGAGAGCCCTTAGGTTAGGAACTTGTCTACTTCCTTTACTTGCTCATGAAACCTAGTCTGTCAACTTAGACAACAATAAAACTTGAAAATTTTAATTTCAAATATATCCCTCATTGTAATACAAACTGAATTTCTGATAAAATAAAGCAAAACACAAGGGGAGGCTCTTTTGTATTCAGGAGTCTGTTAATCATCTAAGGTCTACTGTGACAATTAGGATGATGGTCTGTGAATAGGAAGCTTTGAAATCCCTTCCCTTTATTATTTCTTCAGTTTAATCTGAAAAGTTTTAGCACACAAACAAAACCTCTTTAAAAAAAATCCCCTTTTACTTCTCAGTTTCTGGTCCTGTGTCATTTCCATAGCACTTGGTATGTTGCTGAAGTTATTGTTTTGAGTTGATCTGCTCATCAAAGGTGTGCAGGCCACTCTGGCTTGATTGTGTATCATACAACCCATCTCACATTTCCTTTCCTTATACCCTGAATGGAGGACATTGATAATAGGCTGCTTAATTCTTGTGAAGAAAAGAAAATTACTATTCTGTGAATAGTAAGATCTGATTTATCAGCTCAAATGGCTCAGTAATGGCAGCGAGATCTATACTGTACACAAACCCAACATCCCCATATAGTCCGGTTGTGGAATGCCAATATTGTCCAAAACTAGCCCCTTTTTTTTCCGTGCCAGAGGGAATACTGAACCTCAGGCTGCTGGGAGTGTATCCTTTTAGATCAATTAGCAGCTTTTCAGGTGCAAGGTTCAATCAGCTTCTTCTGCGGAGCGTACTTGATAAGATAGCACTGACAGATAAAGTTAAGTCTTCTCCCTGGCAGCTCACTCTGCGGTGACACGCGCTGGCATTGATGCGGCTCGTGGGAACTGGGGCTGGCACGCTGCATAACTAACCTGTCATACGCCGTGCCGACAGATAATGTGGCAACAGTCTGCAAACTGTGTTGTAGCATTGGAAGCAAGTTAAAATATAGGGCAGCTACATGATACGACATTTACCGCCTGTCCATTCCAACAGGAGAAGTGTCACTTCATTTAGCAACCAGTGCTTAATTTATAAAAACAAATTCACTGGTAGGTAGGTGTGTAACATTTGCTATGTGCTACTGGGTTTATCCTGCTTGGTAGAAAAAAAGGATTTAAAAGATGAAGTTCCATGATAACCCACTTTTCAAAACAGGCTGCAAAATTTTATTCAACAGATGCATCTTTCGTTACTTTGTTCAAAATTCTATGTTATGTCTACACTATTTAAGAGAGACGTGACTTCTTTCATTTTTGAAATCCAAATGTCATAAATGTAATGGCATACTATATGCACACAAGTTTTTAATTCAGATCTCATATTTCCAATGTTTGTAATTTGTATGGCATATGTTTATGTAAAATAATTATCTACCAATGATAAATATATAGGAGCAAGTTAGTACCATTAGCTAGTTGGAAGTTTGTTTATAATTGTCTGTATTAATTATGACACAATTAAGTATGACAAAATAATTTTCAAAGAGATTATGTCTTTTGCTAAAGTTTTTTGATTTTCAAATATAGTGCATTACTTTACTACTTATTTGAAAACTTTGTTCATTCCTATTTAAAAACATAGTTATTAGTATAATAACTATTTTCAAAATCCTACTTTTAATTTTTGTATATTTATAAACCCCCCTATATTTAATTGTTTTTAACAATTGAGTGTTTTAAAATCAGTTAAAACCAGTGCAAACTGAATGGGCTGATGACTGACAAGAACTTAACCTTCATTAGGCTTTAGCTGCAAGTCCATTGTTGCTTTGGATCAACCTAAGACATTTCAGTGCAATAGGTGTCCTTTTCTCATGAAAAAGATGTTACAGTCAAGGTTTTGTTGTGGCATTGTCAGATTTTTAGAGAGGAACGTGTTTAAGTTAGATACATGCTTACAAGATTTTGTCTTTGAAATTCTTATGGTAATTCTTCTATAATTGCAGGAAACGTGAAGAGGAAAGTAAGAGAAAAGAAGCCAAGCTACAGAAAGGGGTGCAGAACGTGGAACAAAGCAAGTTTCGAGTACAACAGAGTCCTGCAAATCGAGAGAAGGCCACCAGTGTCCCCCAGTTACCCAATAAACCATCTGATACACAGAGTAAGAGACTTCTGCCCCTCAACGCTTCACAAATTCAACCAGGGAGAAATAGCAGAGGTTCACCTAAAGCTTGTCACAACAAAGGGACCTCAAAGGAGAGTTGCTTACCAGCGGAGCCTCAGAGTGAAGGTCATAAAATCAGCCAAGGTTTGTGAACTTTTTTTAGTTGTCCTGGTTATCTGTTTTGTACAAGTCTGGGGGTGTTTTATATATAGGACCTGTATGGTCTCTCTATCATTTCTTACTCTTAAGTAATTCATGCAGGATAGAATGAGATACAGATTTTTTTACTCTGTGTGAAGTAGTCAAAAACACCAGCATATACAATGTCTATAAAAATACCTAAAATATGTGAGAACAGGTTGTTGGCAGTTCTATTGGTTACACTCTTTGGAGAAAATAAGATTGAAGATATTTGACATATCTGTGGTATACTTGAAGAATGTTAATGAAGAAATGGTAACTTTTGGTTTTAAACAAGGTTAAAATAAGGATAAATTGTTCTAAGCGACATTTCTAGTACACATGGGGAGCTGTTCAGTCAACTTCGTTTTCCATGACTGAGTTCTCCTGTGATTTGTCTCTGAAGTCCTCTTGTTGAGAACACTCAAGGATATTTTTTGAGAAGTGAGAATTTAGAAATTGTACTCCGAAACATTGTGTCAAAACTCTTTCTGTTACTTTTCTTGCCCTGCTGTACTCTTTTTTTTCCTATCTGTAAATGCATCATCAGTTCATCATAATTTCTTGACCACTTCTTATTAGTTTTATGAGATACGCATCTTAATAACATTTCAGTCAGTTCTGACTTCAGCCAGTTACAGTAGCCTATAGCTCAAATATTTCAAAACTGGTAATGTTAAAGCATCTTTGTTATCATTAGAAGAAAAAATTGGAAAAGTAGTTTATTTAAGGTAAGTTGCTAGAACTCCTCAAGTGTAAAATTGCTGCTATTCCCTCTGGAAGTTCTGCTAATCAGAACAGTATAATAATCCAGAAGAAAAGAAAGTGAAGGAGCCTTTTCTACTGAATCATTTTGCCTAGATTTCTTTAGCTTGTACATGGAAATACATTGGTAAACAGAATACTTAACTATACTGTTATAGTAAAAGCAGACATATCTTAGCTTAACATACACTATGATAGCTAAGTAATGATAAATAGGTGTTAAAAATCCTAGCAAGCTTTACCAGCATGTGCATTAACTTTATATTAGTGAAAATATTCATCTGGCAAAGTAAAACACATAAGAATAATCAGAAACAGTGGTTTCCAAATGAAAAATGAATAATTGTATTGAGCATAATGAGGAAAAATTGATAAGCATGAAAAAAAGGGAAAGGAGAAATAAAGATGTGGGGAGGATTACAACAGTGAAGGGGTGAGAAGAGAAGGAGAAAGCCAAAGAAATGATAAAACAGGAACAATCAGCCTTTTCTTTTACTGACTCCACTATCCATTTTTAGTCAAAATCTACCATTGGTTATGACAATGGAAACTGCATTGCATTAGTCAGACTTCCACTGTTTCTTGGAACAAATATAATGATTTTGCACTGAAACAGTAACCTAAGGAAGTAGGTAGTAGGCAGTCCATGGGAAACATGGGATATAAATTGACTGCACAGATCAGGACTGAATTTGTGAAATTTACTGCAGAGGATTCTAGTATTAATATACTTATATTTGAAAAAATACATTAATGTTCAGTTTTCTACATTACCCTTCACAGGAAGCTAGGGAATTCAACCTAGCAACAAATGCCAGCAGCTTGGACTACTGATTGAAGGCTTCCCTGAAGTTGGATATTTCCTGATGTAGTTATGTCAGAATAATTTTTCTGTGTTGATGGTTCTACAAGTAAAATTTTAAAACCATGTAGGCTATTGCCTAAATGTTTTTCTTGCTCTTCAATATATCTTTAAAAGCAGAATATAATTTCTGCAAAAGATAGAATTTTAAATAGAAAATTCCCTGCTATTGTTGATCATCTTTCTTTACCATGAGTGTTGAACATGAAGAGAATAAAAGTCTTTACTCAAGGTTCTTCTGAAAATCTGTAACTTCTGTGTACTTCTTGCTATGGTGAGACTGGTTTACCTTCAGAGATTGTAAAGAAAGCCCCCTTTTGCCCAATCCAAACAGTGTTTGAAATAGTGCTGTGTCACTTTTAGTTATGCATTCTCCTTTCGTTATTGAAATGATGCCAGGAAAGTTGATGCAGCAAGGATCAAATCATGGAGTTCTATAATGGGTTCTCATTAGGTGTTTTAATCAATCCTCTTGTGACCAAAACTTTAATGGACTTCATTGGTCATTTTATTGGAATTAAATATAAATTTAGACCCTTTGGGCTGTGAAAAATGTGATTTAGTTGGTGGGTCTTTTCTGATCTGCTTTCCACAGATAAATCCTCCTTCCTATGTATGTTATTTCACTTGCCTTAACTGTGGTATAAAAGATAAGTTTGGGTTTTGTGCTCTGTACTTGTTATTGCTTGGTCTTCCTAAGAAAGTTTATTTCAATGTCAAAAGACAAGCTAGAATAGTGAAATCATGGAGTTTTTTCCATTATCCAGATACCCAGTTGTTCAGATGGGGAAGTTTTGCGCATACGAATGTCTTACAGTTAAGTAAGGCATGCTGCATGTGCAAACCAGAGTTCAGAATGAATCTGTTCAGTGAGCAATACTCAGTTATCCAGTCAAGAGCATCCTGTAAAGGCATTACAATGAGGGTAAATATAGCATGGTTTCACCAGGTTTTGGATGATCCAGAAGATCTTCTGTGATTCCAGTGTATCAGAGATCTCTTTCTTTACTTTTTCTCTTCCTACCTACCCTGTAACATCCTGTCTGTTTGCTACATTTCATCCTGTCTGGTCTACTTCCTCATTCTCCTCTTAAGTTTCCAAACAGAATGGAAGGTGGATGGATGATGGGAGATTTTCAGTTTTGCACTCCACTGTGGCTTCTGAGTCATCCTCACAATAGTGTTTAGAAGCAGTTATCACACAGCAGCAAGGGAGGAATGGGAAGCACTTCACAGTTTCATTCAGCATGTCAAGGGAAGTACTGAGAAGCCAAGGGCTTTGGGGGGTTCCCTGGATCAATGGGTTATCCTGTGTGTCACTGTGTGCCAGGATACAGGGTGGCTAGGGCAGGAATTTAGCAAAAAAGCTTGAAACAGTGACGGTCACTTACGGCGTTCCAGGTACCGGGAATGAGCAGCTGAGTTCATGGGGCTGCATTCCTGTGTCACATGGTAAGCTGGTTTCTTGGGAGAACACCTGTACAATCAGGTTGGTGAAGAAATAGTTTCTTCCTGTGAACTTTTTTTTAACTCCAATGTAATGTGAGTAAGAAAATAATTTGTAAAACAGTAAGCAAATAAAGAAGTTTGGGACTCTACTCTTACATGCAATCATGTCCTCTTTTGATTCCTTCTGCTTACTTTTTTTTCTCTTCATTTAAGTAAATTCTAGTGTGTCTCAAAGGCAACTGAGCAAAAAAAATTAGAGAACTAAACTATGTTTTGCTGGATCAGAGACTAAAAGTTGGCTTCAATTTCTCTGTCCAAAGATTCATCGAGGAAACATATCAAAAGCAAGTCAAGTTGTGTCCATTTCCATTGTGACAAAGCAAAAGAGGGAACAAAAGTTGAAGTGAAACATCAGGTTGCAGCTGCTACAGAACTGAATGGAGAAAAGCACAAGGAGCACACTGTTGATGCCACAGTGCCCCGGAGGAGCAGAAGGCTTACTACTTCTACTTGTAGGACTGCTAGTGTTGGGGAAAAATTAAGGGATCCAAGTCAGCCTTCATCTGGCAAGAGGGACCATTGTGAGGGAACGACTGCATTCTTCTGCGATGTCAGTTGTGCTGGTGGGGCTGTGAGAAACTCAAAACAGTGTGAAGCTTCTTCCAAAGGCAAAAGACATCGGGAGAAGTCCAGAAGTAAAGAAGTAAATGATAAGCGATGTTCACCAGCTGGTTCTAGTAGACCAGGAAGTGCCAAAACAGTATTTGTAAACAGCAGAAATGACAGCACGCATGCTGTGGAACGAACTGACAAAGTGGAAAATAATGAATTAGCAAAAAAGGCTTCCCCATTATTGTGTGCTGGGGCAGAACCTACCGGAACTGTGCCAAGAAACCCAGTACCGTGTTCTGATCCTGCTGACAGTTTAAACTTGGAAAAAACAGACGTAATTGGATCCAGGAACACAGATGATCAGTTATGTTCTGTCGCATGGCAAAGTACAAATATTGAACTAATCCCTTTAGAGATTCGAATGCAGATCATAGAAAAAGAAAGAAAAAGAAAAGAGCTATTTCGAAAGAAGAACTATGCTGCTACAGTCATACAGAGGTCATGGAGAAGGTAAGACTACTGTTTCAGTAGTTAGAGAACAGTGAGATATGCATAGATGTAAATTAAATTAAGCTTGTTGGCAACGTGCTTTATTTGGTCCTTTTGCTTACAATGTTGCTAGTGCTAAATGAGGCATTTAATAATCCTTCACCAAACAAGGGGAAGCGAATTCCAGTCACCTAGAATTACATTAGTAAGTTCATAGAAAATGCAAGGTAAGTTATGACTTTTAATAATTGGAAAAGTTATTAAACTTGTTTCAAGCGCTGATATTATAATTTCTTCCTGGAGTTCACTGCCATTGTGTTCATTAGCAAAGTTACGCATGTAAGGATACAGGGTTTTTCCTGAAAAGGTTTTTGTAACCAGACCCTTTACCACCAGTTACTGACACACAGGTACTCTGATCTGACTTTTAACTGGATAACCAAACCACAGGATGTTTGGAAGCTTTGAACATTCATTGCCAAAACTTGACGCTAGCTTCAGTACCTTGATTAAGCAGGAACAACTGCTGTACAGAAGAGGCAGACAGGAGAGAGTGAGACATCCCAGTGTTTGCTTTCCACAGCATTATCCTGCTTTCATGAATGCATGAGTTTCAACCTGAGAAATACAGTTATTGTTAAAGTACTCCTTAAAGTGCTTCTTATTATTTAATTTCTTATCAAAATAGTCAGGAAGAGCGTGGCAGCTGTAGGTGAAGCATGTAATATGTACATAATTTTTATTTCCTGTTTTTATTGAAACTTTCTTCAGTGTTTATTGGATGCAGAAAACTATAAATTGCTGATGTTTACTAATATTCTTTCCAGATCACTGACTAGTTTAACTGTTTCTTATATGCTGTAATATTTCTTAGTATTCAATTAAAGAAAAAATAACAGGCAAGTTCCTTTCAGAGCTTAATTGTCACACCCTATGGTGTAGTTCAGTAGTGATGCAAAAATTGTTCCCCCAACCAAACTGTATCAAAGGGACTACCTGTGGGATGTCTGGGAGCATATAGTGGTAGTAACATATTTTATCCTAGTCCCTGGGAAACCTGCAAGTTTCCTGCCAACAGCAGAATCAGGACTTAATGCCCAACTGCCTGCAGAATGAATGCTGATTACTGGTAGATCTCCCTTCTTCTGGGTCATGCTGGAAGCTTTGGTTCACTTGTGGAGGAATTCAGAGGGGCGGTTTCTTTGCCCTGCTGTGCCAGGAGCAGAGTACTAGCTGTCTTCCCAGCTCAGGACAGCCTCTGCATCCAACCCACTCTGCCACAGCGTGGAGCAGAAGGGAAGCACTCAGCCGCTGAAGCACCAAGGTCTCCTTTCTTTGTCACCGCAGCCTGGGCTGTTCAGCCACTCAGTGGTGTGTCCTCTGGGCCTCATCAAGCAGGGCCAGGACAAAAGATCTTTTTTTTGCCAAGTGCTATGTAGCTCTGAAAAGCTATAAAAGAGTCATGGGATTGTGCTGCCTGCTTTCAGTAGGGCTTCCAGGCTTAAAATTTCTAATTTTGCAAGGTGAAGCATTACCTGTGTTTTCTTATTGTAAAAAACACCAGGGAGTGAAGAGACTAACATTGCCAGTTGCTTGTTTGTGGAGTTTTGAGAACTGGTATCTCTCCCATTGCTTTTTCCAGTTAACTTGCAAAGGCTGAAGAAGTCTTGTCTTTCTCAGAAGGAGCTGACACTGCTATTACTAGGGAAGGGACACCAGACCAGACACCCTGTAGTCCAAGCTGGCAGTCATTACTAGGGGAAGGGATACTAGACCAAACACCCTGTAGTCCAGGCTGGCAGTCCATTTGTTCCTAAACTGAATTGTGGCCATTTAGACATTTGTGTTGGCTCAGTGAATACTTCTGTTTGCTCCAGCTCTTTTATTGATCAGTACAAGTATTTCCAAGCATAAGATTGGATTTAATGTCCAGTAATATTCCAGGTTATCTCTTCACTGTTGTTGGGATATAAGTTACACTGGCTTTTATGAGTACATGCCTATTCCACTGAAAAGTTAAAATTTTGAACACGGTATTCATATTTGAATGATTTTTTGGTGAATGAATTTTTTTGGTGAAAATTTCGACTTGTACAGTATCAACTATTTCTGCACTTCTATCATCTTTGCTCTCTGTCTGCTATTTATACATCCAGTTTTGGGATCCCCAGTACAAGAAAGACATGGACCTCTTGGGAGAAAGTCCAGAGGAGGACCACAAAAATGGTCAGAGGGATGAAACAGCTCTCCTGTGAAGACAGGCTGAGAGAATTGAGGTTGTTCAGCCTGGAGAAGAGAAGGCTCCAGGGACACCTGATTGCAGCTTTTGAATACATAAAGGGAGCTTGTAAGAAAGATGGAGAAAGACTTTTTAACTAAGACTTGTAGTGACAGGATGAGGGGCAACATTTCTAAACAAACAGAGGGAAGGATTAGATTGGACATAAGGAGGAAGTTTTTTAAGATGGGGGTGGTGAGGCACTGGAACAGCTTGCCCAGAGAGGTGGTAAATGCACCATCCCTGGAAACGTTCAAGTCAGGTTGGATGGGGCTCCAGGTTGAAGGTGTCCCTGCCCATGGCAGGAAGGGTGGACGAGGTGGTCTTTAGAAGTCCCTTACAACTCAAACCATTCTGTGGTTCTGTGATTCCATGCCATATTCCTCATGCCCACTCCAAACTGCAAAGCAAAACAGCAGCTTGTTCTCCAGAGTTTCACCACTTCTGCCAGTTGTGTCTCTCTGCTGCTTCCAAATGCTTTTTAAGCAGCTCGGTGTTGGCAATGCCCACCTTGGCCTTCTTTTTTCATGCAGATCCTGACTTCTTGTCTTATGTGTTCAAATCCTTTGGATACCAAGAGCTAAAGTAAGTCAGGAACAGGTTAGGAGAATGTATGTACAAGTGATACTACTGCTACTGGAGGCTCTGCTGTTTTCATTTAACACTGATTTAAAATCCTTAGAGAGGGGTAGGTGCATACCATAGCTTTAAGTCAAAGCAGAATGGTGTGTAGTGAGTGCTTGTGCAAATGTCCTCACAAGAATTGGGATCTAAAGCCTTGCATTAAGCTAACTTACCTGCACAGAAATCTGTATTCCATTTACACTTGGGACTATTAAAAGATTTTGGATGGATCTTTCTAAATGATCCACCTGCCCAAACAGCAACGGTGTGCTATCTCTCCAAAAAGCGCATGCACTTTACTAACACTCTGCATTTTGGAAATTGTGGGAATTAAAAATTGTTTAAATTACATTTGTTATTTAAAGAATTAATAATGAAAAATAAATACATTTGCTCTGTTTGCAAAACTCATAGGACATTAAAGAAGATCATAAGTTCTGCAAGACAGCAGGAGAGATTAGTTTGGCAGTTTTTCCATTACCATTTCATTACATCTGTGGACAGTTTACTCTTACTAGAGCTTTGATGAAGTTCATAAAGTTTGCAGCAATATCACAATGCATTTATTTCAGTGAATGTTTTGATGCAGAACTGCTCATTGGACAGTGATGCTGAGGTGAGGGCACTACATTGTTATGAAGAACTAAGCTTCTGTCCTGCCTTCTCTCTCCCAAACCCACTGGCCACAAGCTGTGCTGTCTTTTCTGCTTACACTTTCAAACTCAACTTGTACTTTATAGTCTTGAGTGTTGTGAAACTCACATAGATGAAGAAAGTTGTGAAATTGGAGCAGATTTCCTCCTCCTGATTTCCATTACCATAGCATTAATGTTTATTTTAGAAAAGAAGAGAGCTCTGCCTCTGCCTTTCAAGCAGAGTTCATATAGACCTCAAAAAAAGAGACAGTGTGGGTATTTTAGGGTATGGATCCCAAGTCAGATGGTGGCACATGCCTGCCAAGAAGTCATGGTTAATGTTTCCTGTTAGCTCACACTAGGCAGCTTTATGTGCTGACTTCTAATATGTTTGTTATTCTGAAATACCCAACTTCCCATCCACTGAACCCCAAATTACATTTCTTAAGCAGGTGCTTACTGGGTGGCTTTGGGTCCCACTTGGTCCCATGTTTCTCTTTTGGTCCAAACTTGCACTGTAGCATGTGCTTGTAGACAGCAATAGAATTACACATTGGCAATGTGTAATTCTGCATTAGAAACATGACAAGTACATGCTTGAGTTCTGGAATTTCTCTAAATTAAAATTAAATGCATTTTTTCACTCTGCAAATTTTATAGTCCTGTTTTAGTTACTGAAAGTAAACATAACAACATAGTGGTACTGGTCTACTTAAGTATATTAAACTTGCCGTTCTCAGGAGAATGTTTCAATTCCCATATCTGAAAACTTCATAAATGTAGTCCTCAAAAGCGTATTCTAAGGTGTGTGGCTTGCCAAAGGTTAATTGCTTATCCTGCTCGTTGAGGCTTACGGATCCTGTGTCTGTCTTGCTCTCTCATGGGGGGCACTGAGGCCTGTACCATTCTCCAGGGTCCACAGTGAGTCAACAGAAACTGGAAATAAGTTGGTTGTTGTCACTGTTGTTCTCTCACTGAGGTCAAGTAGAAGTTGTGGGGTTTTTATATATATTATTGCCATATGCATAACTCTGAGCAGCAATAATTTTTTAGAGCTTTTGCAGCAGTGAATGTGAATACCATTTGCCAGCTTTGTCACTCTGCACATATATTCCACGTTTCTTTTATGTACAGAGGTTTTGTTGACTGAGCATTGGGTATTTTTGTAAGGCACCATGTCAGACTCATATTGCATCAAACTTGGTCCCATTCTTCTTTTTTTCTCAGCTGAATTAAAAATTGTGCACTTGCTCCAAAGATAACTGCCTACATCTTCTCAGTGTCAGGGCTGCAGTTGTTTTCTTGTTGCTAAAAACTACCAGAAGTTCTCTACAAACATGAAATCACAGCTGGATGCAAAGGTGGACTGCCTGTGAATGGGTCATTTCCCGTATCAGCAAAGGCATCTGGCAGTAATTACTGAATTCCAAGAGAGTAGCTTAGTATTCTTTTCTGCTCAAGTATAAAACAGTTCCCCAGTTGCTTTTCCTGCAGCAGTATTCACTTAACCCATCCTTAGCTCAAGTTCTGTTAGGAAGTCACTGCAATTGTGCTCCCCCTTCACTTTCTCTCTTACCCTGTTGAAAAGTTAAAAGTGACATGTTATTTAACAAAACTGGATAATTTTTTTTCTTCTATCTCTCAGTAATGCTCCTGTTCTGAATTCATACAGTGCCTCTCAACTTGCAGGCATAGGTAAGATGCAGTTGATGCCTGCATTTGTTATGTATTTTAATGAGCTGCATAACAGTACACGCCTGAATTCTGAAGCTTCACTAAATTAAGATTAAATAGGTTTGCCTCACCCAGCAAATTTCACAGCGGTAATTTACTAAGCTTATTGAAAGTTTAAAATTATTTGGGCTGTAACTGAGCATATCATCCCCCTGTGGCATTCTATTGTGCTTTTATGTACATTTTGTTTTGTATATGGGTACTGTTTTGTTTGAATTATACAGTTCATTGGCTTATAACATATATTTAAGTAACTTGTATTTAGTTGTGTTGTCTTTTGTTCTAATTTAGAACTTATTGCAGATGGAGCAACAGAAGAAAATCGCTCTTTATCTCTCCTTCCTCATTCTCTTTACTGGGACATTTTGAATGCCAAAGGGGATGACGATCGATGTGGTTTGGCCCCTTACCAAACACTTATACTTAATATTTTACAAGTGTTACTCAATGTTCATTTGTGACAGGTTTGTACTGGGAAGATTCAGAGTTAACTGCTAGGCCAACTAATTGATTTGTGAGTGTGAAATGCCAATATCCAATTGAATACTTATGTCGGATTCAAGGAAAGAAAACCAAAACAAACAACTCCTTATTGCTGGTGCCATTTGCCACCGGAGTGTGAGGGGAGTGTGAAGAACAACAATCTGCCGCTGCCACTTGGCAGAGGGCTGTGTCACAGACCAAAACATCCAGGACAAGTTCGGGTCAGAAGACAGGGAGCCTTTGAAGGGAAGGGAAAAAACACAGATTGCTGAAAAAAAGTGAGGCGAGCATCTTCAGAGGGGGGATGGAAAACAGCTCAGTTTTCTGTAGAGGAAATGTGCAGTTGAACCCATTGGAGGTAGATTTCGTTTATCTTTTGCACTGATTGACTGAGAACACAGAGTGGTGAGGCACACAAGAAAATCTGGTGTTACTAAGCTGTGAATATAGTGAAAATGAGGAAGCAGTATTGATTGTACTGTTATCATAAATATTTATAGTTTTTTCTTCGGCTGATTTTCTATTTATAAAGCAGTTGATAAGCTGATGTTGAAGCACTGTAACTTTTGATACCTGTAATGCCAGATCTTTACAAACTGTGTGAAATAATGGATGCATCCAAAATTGAACCCAGCTCCTACTTTTTCTTGTGAGCAAACATTTCTCATCCAAATGACTTGGCACATCAGTGGGAGTTCTGTTTTCCCAGTTACTCATGTAATCCACCATGTGAACTGATGCGTGGAAAGCACGGAAGTTAAAACAGGTCACCTAAAACAAGTGCTCTTCTCTTTTCTGCTCTCTAGTTACCAACTAAGACAGGAGTTGTTTCAGCTTCTTAGTGCTAAGCGGCAGTGCAAGGAAGATGAAGACAAATGGAGACAAGAGACAGCTGCCTTCTTCATTCAGGTTGCTTGGAAGAAACAGCTGAACCATGGCCTTCTGAAATCAGTTCCTTCATGTAAAAATCTGAAATCTGTAAACAAAACCAGCTCAGCCATAAAAACCAGCAAGCAGTCTATCCTAAAGCAGATATATGGTAATTTTAACTATACTTTATTCTAAATAACTAAGTTTCTATCTTTTTAACAGAGTGTATTCATCTACTTGCTTTTTACCCAATTGTTAGGGATTTCAACTATTTATAAAAATTAGTCTTAATCTCAGGAGTTCTGGGTAATTTCGTTTCAGTTTGAGGTTAAAAAAACAAACATCAACTCTGTGATTTAAAATGGCTTCTGCTAAAGCATTATTCCAGCACAGGTCTTGAGCAACCAAATGATTCCGTTGCCAGAGCTGCTCACATATATCAATGTGGAAACAGAAAAAAGCAGTTAAACTGGGGATAGCAGACTGTATCCATGCAGCATGGCTATCTGGATCCTGGTTTCATTTTTTTTAAGCATTATTTTAAACTTTTGTTTGTGCTGTTTTTAAAATATTTCCATTTGAAGAGTATGTTCACGTTTGAACATAAGTGGTCTTTATGGAAAGACTGTCTTTTATAGTGACTCTGCACTGCTTTGCATTGTGCCTGAATGTGCACAGTGCAAAGGAATGCATCTTGAAGAAAGGGTAGAGGAAAGCATTGCTTTTAGACCTTGAGTTCCTTTACAATGTGGGTCACTGATGGAGTAAGGATATGCAAAGTATAAGTACTTTACCAGGTGGTAAGTTACTTCTATCATGGCTCTGTAGCTTAGATAGCCAAAAAAGATAACATAAATAAAGCTAATAAATTTATTTTCCTTTTTTCCCCCTTTTTTTTTAATAACAACCCCAAGAGGTAATTTAACCTTACTTAAATTTCAGTTGTGGTTGTCACAATTTTCTATTATATAGAACGTCTCATGAGTTTACTCATCAGAAATTAGATTAATTTTTAGGATAAAACAATGCTGTAGCTTATCGAAATAGTTTGTAGCTTTACATAACCATGTTTGTGTGAATAAACACAGAGCTGTTCGTATTGTTTGTTAAAGGGCGTTCTCAGGAAGGCAAAGTGTGTCAGTCAACAAGATCTCCTTCTAAGCTGAAATTTTCTGATGTGCAGCTGGTCTCAGGTAGGACACATCCATTTTAAGAATACTTTAATGTTTATATATACAAGATTGGTTTCTTCTTAGAAAAGAACAAAATCTGCTCAAGGACTGGGCTCTCTCTCCTTTCAAAATACGACCAAACTGTTGTGATTGTATGCTCTTTCTTTCACTAGTTTTGGACTTAGTTGAGCACTGAACTTTTATTCTTATGTCAAAACATTTAGATGAAAACCTGTTTTCATTGGGCTATTACTAGGAAAGACCTTAATATAATGGACTTTTACAGTGCTAAGGCAGATAACATTCACCTGTGGTTAAAACTGCTGACAGATGTTCATACTTGGGTTCAGCAGCACAAATATTTACTAGTCCTGTAGAACTAAAGAATGCTACACGTACCAAGAATTTACACACCTGTTTTTTACAAATACATGCTTTAATGCAGAGATGACAACTTGAAAATCCGAAGCTACTCATCTGATCTCTGCCCTTTCTTTTAAAATGTCATAATGGGGATCCTGTGCTGGGCATAGAGCTTTGGTCATTTCATAGAATTTTGTTTGCAGTTAAGTTTTAAGGCTCTAACAAAACCATGCATTTATTTTTCTCCTTAATTCAGAAGCCACGTTGTCATTACCAGATCTGTTTGCAACTGCAACGTTATGTCTGGAACTGGTATCAGGGCAGTAGGGTTGGCACGATCAGGACTGCCAGGCCATGCTGGCAGACATAAGGGGCTGCACCATGTCAAACAGAATGGTGTCAAAGAACTAAGATTGTAAAGGTATTATTGGGGTCATTAAAGGCTGGAACTTTCATGCATGTGGCATTAATTGACAGCTGGCTTAAAAAATTAAGCTATATGATCATCTCTCCTACTACTTCTTTACTAAATGCCATTTTTAAGACTTTTTCAAGTGTATTATGTGCTTACTTGGGGTTGGGAGGTATAGTAATGTTAGTGCTTCACCATGTCAAGATTTAGAGCCTTGTTGGGCCTTTGGTGTTCGTGGCTGTACTACACGTGGCTCAGAGGCAGGACACAGCTAGACAGGAACTAAGCAAGCACTTCAAGGAGACAGTAGTTCAGGTAATTTGCAAAAGGAAGTAAAATACATTTTCCAACTAGTTTAACAAAACTATGAAGTCAGAAGGAAATCCAACAGTGGACCTATCCTTGAGTTTGTTAGAACTGTAGGTGAGTTTCTGACTCACTAAGAGACAGAGGCTTTTTTCTTTCACTGAGAACTGTTTTAATTAAGAGGCATGACCAGACAGGTGTTTGATTGCCACCTCTTCATGCAGATATGAATCTAAATTTTAAAAGAGCTTTAGCAAATAATGCTTCTTTTCGTTTAACTTTTCAGGACAACAGATCTCCCTGTCTTCTGAAATAAAAAGGCTTTCTTTTGAGGCTTGAGTGTCCTTTGCTTTGATAACTTGGTGACGAATAGGATAGTGATAGGAACTCTGCCCAGTTCCTTTAGAACACTACCTACTTTTATTCACCTAATAGGAGCTCAGGGAACTTTAGCCCTTACTTAAAAGACAATAACATGTTTTTCATCTGACTGCCTTTGTGCATGACAACATTACGTTTGTTGGAAAAGTTCAGAGCTGTCAGTGGCTAATGCCAGATACTCCATTTCTGACGTAGGTGCCTGGAGTAGGTCAGAATGGACTGTTCAGTTTGATTCTTCTCTTGCAGAAGGTACATCTGGGAAGGTGAAGACTGACTGTCAGCTCTAGCTTTAATGTTCATATAGGTAATGGAAAAAGTGTGCGGTGACAAATCTCTACCAAACTCAGTCAAACCCTTCGGAAAGGGGGATATGCAGAAGGTACTCAAAGGAAATGTACAAATAAGTAAGGCAGGCAGCAGGTGACAGGTGGAAAAGGAGCATGCAATGGGATATACAGATACTGGATAGGTGCTTCAGAATATTCCAGCAACTAGGGCCTTTTAGATTGTTACCATTAAAACATTTCAGAACCTGGAATTTGTTTCCTTTTGTTGTTTTTTTTTTTTTAATTTATTAAATAGATTGTCTTGTGTCAATTTAGCAAATGGTAAAGAGTCTGTCTTCAGCAGGCCAGACAGCCTGGTTTTCTGGTTTCACTGTGGACATTAAAGCATCTTCAGAGTTGTAAAGAAGGATGTTTTGCAACTCTTGGCATTAGAAAGAAGTCCTTAAAACGTGCTGGGTTCACACCCTCAATGAAACATTCAGATTTAGAAGGACCGTGGCTAGAAGGGGATAAAGCACTGAAATTTAGCCTCAAAACATTTACAAAACTGGGAAGGGAAAACATGCATATTATTTGAAGCAGATTGCAGGAAATAAAAACGTTGCATGAGCCCAGACATTCAGCCAGACTCAAACCTGAGGAAAATGGTCAGATGACATTGACTCTTGCTTTCTAATAATTCGAAGAGCACTTGCTTTAACCCTGGTCTGGTTTCCCCTACTTTCTAGAAATGGCCCACCTAATGTTGCTAAATATTGCTCAACAAAATTTCTTGCTGCTCTTCAGCAAACTCAGCCAAGAGCAGTGTGTTAGTCTGGAAGCCTTCATTCATTTATGAGGGTAAATGTGGAGTTAAGCTCCACCACTACAGGTTGCTGAAGTCCAACACACGCAGCAGCAGTGTTCTGTGCAAGCTGTACTGTGCCACAGAAACCAAACTATTTACAGGCAATCGACAGTGAGATGCCAGGAAAAAAGGGCATGTTCAGTAGATTCCCTGTTTATGAAATCTAGAATGCAGTGCAGATGAAACTTTTCATCCTCTGGAGTCACTCATCAAAACCATTTTGTTCTTTTACAGTAAACAACCTACAGTGTGTTAATTTGCTGGAGAACATGGGAAAATCAAAACAATTTTCATACAACATGAGACCAACCACTGCAGCAAAATCAAAAAATACAAGACTCAAGCACTAAGCAAAACCAAATGTTTGGAATTTAAAATCCATTCCAGTACAGTTGTTACCTTTCATAATGTATAAGCCATCTACGACATATGAAACTTGAACACATTTTCAATTTTGTATTATCTCAGTATTACATGCCAAGCAGACTTCTAAGGAGTTGGAGTAATTTTGTGTACAAATTAGTTTTTAAATGCAACTGTTAATTTCTTTACCAACACAGGATGAAATCTGAATTGCATTTGGAAACAGAAAATGAAGCACTAAGCCCAGCATTACAATAATCTTGCAGGGGCGACCAGAGCTTTCCATTGTAAAAAAATAGGAATGTTAATTGTGTTCAAACACAGTTTGGAAAGAGAAGGAAAATGTACTAAAGCTCTAGCAGTTCTGAAAGACTGCTGTATTACTTCACCTCCAATTTATTACATTAATTTCGAAATCCAAACAGGAATGGAAGAACAGCCTTCATGCTCCACTTCTGTACTAAAGAAACAATTGTTTTTAGCTAACTATGGATTTGGAGGGAAAAGCAGAGATGTTGACATAAAACACTGAGTAAATAAATTGCTTTCACAACCTATGGAAACTATTAGAGGTGCATTTTCTACTCTTTAAGATTATCACTATTTTTTTTAATAACTATTTTTCTACATGCATGAAAAGAATTTCTACAGAAAGCAAAAAAAAAAAAAAGATCCTGTTCTAGGAAAAAAAAATAGTTCTTTTAATAGTTTTGCAGCTGCCACAGTGTACAGTATTTACCTTGCACAAAGTATTTAAAAAATATGAACTCAGCAAAAATAAAAAATGTTACTCTAGTTTCAAAGTATATTGTTTTCTATTTTTTCTTCTACTTAGTATTACATAACTGAGTTTTTTTAATATGATGCTTCAAAATAACAGATGACCAGATTCAATATAACTCTGTTTCTCTGCAAGCACTTAAGCTTCAAGGAGACTGGATTTTCTTTAACACCCCTCACTGTGGTCACCACATCTATTAAAACACCTTCCAGTAACATCTACTTGCTTGAAAAGACAGGCAATAGAGGTATGCAGTTCTCTGTAAAATTTTTATTGTTTCACTTACAAAAAAATTGACAAGCTTTGTTCCAACATCTTCCATTCAAAACTAAATAGAAGTAAATGCTTTACAATAAATGCAGTTCGACCTCTTTAATATACCGCGTTCATAGGGCCAGGTGTCTGGGGATGAGAGGCAAGGTAGATGTTGAAACAGTAATGGAGGTCTGTTAGCCACTGCTCTTGAACTTCACCACTCTTCAGTGTCTACGAAGAAGGAGAAAAAAAGGTAAAACTTGCAAAACTTTGCTTTGTTTTTACAGTTAATCAGGTGTGCTGTTAAAGGTACAAGACAGCCTTGTTCCCCTGCACACAGTGACACTGTTCTCCTCATTTAAATATTTCAACACGGTATGTCTCTTAAAGTCCAAATAATAAAGTGTTATGACTGGGTACACTAAGTCAGTGTTACATTATCAAGTGTGTGAATTACACCAGATGTACTTTCCTTACTTAGAGTGATCCACTTACTTCCCCATTCTGCAATTTATAGGCAATTAAAATGCAAATGAGCGTGGTTCTACTAACGCAGGAGAGCTCACTAACCCAGTCTACAGGAGAACTGCTACCGACAGATCAGTGTAGCCCATGGCCCAGTAATTGACTCCTCTCAGCATTTGTAAGTGGTTAAAAATACCCAACAGCAAACCCAACCCACGCATGGTGGAACATCACAAGAACTGGCTGTGGGATTTTCAACACTAAAGGAAACCAAACTTGCAGGTTGGAGAACTTGCATCATAATCTCTCACATGTGCTTCCACCACTACTGTTTTGTTTAAAGTATCTTCTTCAACATTTGCAATAATTTTAAAAAATAAACATGATGTATATATGCAGTCTCTGGCAAGTTTCATACCATGATGTCCTTGATGATCTGTTGCACCAGAAACTCGTTTGTGATCATATGGCTCCTGAGCTGACCGTGTTGCATTAGTAAGCGAAGCAACTGAGCAACAACAGGCAGTTCTTCCCGACAGATCCTGCTCACTTGCAGGCTTTGCAGCATCAGCCTCAGTAATCGTGGCAGGAGTGCTAATGCAGATATACACGATCCCCACAGCATATCCCTGAGAGGAAAGCAGAATAAAAATTGAAATGACTGATATATATTTCAAGGATGCTGCTGTGAACTGGCTGCACGGCTGTCTAAGGAAATGTGCTGCTGTGAATTCAATCATGCCAGCTGCCTTCACCAGTATTAGTAGCAAAGCAGAAAACTTGTACCAGAAAATGCTGAATTTTAAAATATTCCAAAATTATGTACAGCACTGGAAAAAAAAAAAAAAACAAGGTCCAGCCCTGGAGCTACAAATGTTGCTGAAGTTCTTGCACAGTGTAATTTCTGCTTGACGCAGCTGGGAAGACGTTTTTGGTTCAGTCACTGTTCAGGTACACTTGAATCTTTGTTTAAGATCCGTAAGAAATTAAAGTACTCAGATTTTTGTGATATGCAAATCATTAAATACAGTAAGTGAAGGAGGATTCCGGCTCTAAGTGCACGTCTTTTGAGGAAGCTTTAAACAACTTTCCTATATATGGAAAAAACTGAAGTTTAACTTGTTTAAAGACATTTCCGCTTTTCAGGTAAACTTATTTGAATCTGTTATCTGTAGCTTTTGGGTTCTTTTTAAGACAAATGGATTTGCAGTCTACGTAACGATGCCTGAGAAGTTTGTTGAAGCTGAAACATCAGGTCACTAAAGAGTACAAGCTTATAAAGCCAAATCTTTGCAGTGTTTTTAAATGTATCTAATGAAACTAAGGCTAAAGATTAAGGTATAAATGTCCACCTTTCTAAAGTCAGGATAGTTCCGACAACTAAGTAGAACAATAGAAGATGGAACCTTCTTCAGTTATTGTTTTAAGTAATTCCAGCTAACTTTGTAGCTGTCTTTCTTATATCCAAGTACTGTTTTGAAGTAAGCAAAAGACAGGAAAATAAACCTGGGGGGGGGGGAAGCAAGGGGTGGTATCCTTTCATTTTACATCTTTAAATACTTGTAGCTGCAAAGACAGAGACAATTAACATGGTAAGAGCAGCTTTACCTTTTCTGTAGATGTTCTGCATCCTCTTTGTCTAAAGTTAGCAGAAAGTACAGAAGACTGTAACAACAAGAGGCCAAGAACTTATGCAGGTTTTCACTTATAATGCAGGCTTGATCCAAGAGCTTATTTATGGCACATAGAACAGATCCAGCTGTGCTATCAGGTATTACAACCAATCCAACCTGTATAAAACAAAACAAAAAAAACAACCCCAAGTTCATCACTTTATACACAAGTTTTTTTGCAGGGATACAAACATGTTTAGAACTGAATGAACCTCTTTCCTACCATGACATGTATTACTTGGTTTCTGTTCAAGTTCTACATACCACTGCATTTTTTCAAATCCCTGTTTTCCCAAGAAATTGCCACCCATACCAACAGAAGGTTACATTGACATCTTCATTCCATCCCCTTTAAACAAGCACTCATCTCAAACATACTTAAAAAACACAGCACTGCTTTAAGCCTTGCTCTGAATGACAGTGCAGGCACAAACAATCTTCTGGGCAGAACAGGTCTTTCCTTTTAAGCATATATCATGGGACAGGGCATCCCTTCCATGTCTTGAAATGGCAGTGAGCAGCCACTGAGGTAGAAGGAAACTCTGATTTACACTACAGAAAGCAAAGCTTCTACCAGATTGTCATCAGGGTGAGTCTCCTTTGAAATCCAACAGGAGCATTAGGAACTGAGATAAATTAAAGCTAATGAAATATATGGTGAGCACATGGCTGGGGTGATGCTCTTCTGTTGTCAAAAAGAGAATATCATCTTGAGTTAAGGATTTTATAGGCATGATAAATAATTTAGAAAAAAATCTTTTTTGGGTAGAGGCAGTGAATTAGAAAGCAGTTTAAATTTTGAAGTGCTATGGAATAAGTACCCTTGATTTTTGTCCCATAAAGCCATTAAAAAAAAATTCATGCATTGCTAGTGTGGCACCATTTTCCATTAAAAAACTATTAAGGAATTTTAGAGTAGTCTGACTTTCTCACCTGCAAGTACACTGTTTTAAGCTGACAGAGGCAGTTGGTTTACTTAACAAGGTCACCTGTTTCTTTTAGAAATGTTTAAAAAAAAGATCAAAGTACAAGCTACAGAAACGTGACATGTATTTCATTCATACAATTACTTGCGAGAGGTAAAAGATAAAAGAACAACTATGGGTTCAAACTTTTAAATCGTTCCAACATAAGAGACTGGGTATATTCCAAGGCCATGAGTGCAGATTCCTGTCCCAAGCTGACCCTTCCCCAGCCAGGTGCAGAGGCAGGAGAACGATGGTGTTCCTGTGTGACAGAAGGTGGACCAGAGCTGTCACCAAGACCCTGCTGAACACTACAGGACACTGAGGCACTAAATAATAAAAACTAATAATGATGTTCCTGGCCAAATAGGAAATAATGACAGCAAGCTAGATCAATGTCTACATGTAAAGAAAGCATCCTGAAGATCAAATGAGCCAACACTGCTGATGAAATGTGCTAGGCAGCCAGTCTGGAAGATGATGTGGACACAGATGTTTTAATTTATACAAATCCAGTACATGAGGCTGCTCAAATAAGTTCCCATGGAGGATGTTGCCTACACGGTGCCTTTCCTCCCTGTTGGGTGTCAGCAGCCAGTTGAGAGATCTTGGGCAGCAGTCTTGTCAACTATAAAAACCCACTTAACTGTTTGCTCTCAAAGGGTCAAAGCAGTAGAACACATAAGCCTATTTAAAAGTGAATTTAAGTCAACACCACTCCCAAAAATCCAGACTATGGTTATAGGTAAACCACTCCCTATGGAAGCTTTGGTCTAGTAACTTCTCAGTAGAGCTCCATACATGGAACTCCTGACACTTCTGAG